ACAATGATCTATATATCTGAAGCTAAAAATCGGATCATTTTAAAACTACAAACTGACCGCGTAAAATTTTCTTTTTTTTTTTGCAAATTTTCGGCAACCGAATCGTTAACGATGATCGAGGTCACGATGAACAAAGAATTGCTAGACTTCGAATAATAACGATTTGAATCCAATAAATTTCCAAGTAGTTTGAAATTCGAGAAAGTGTATAAAAGTTTCAATCCATATGTTTCTCTCCCCCAAAAAATTCTGCGCAATTTGTTCTCCACAATGATCTATATATCTGAAGCTAAAAATCGGATCATTTTAAAACTACAAACTGACCGCGTAAAATTTTCTTTTTTTTTTGCAAATTTTCGGCAACCGATACGTTAACGATGATCGAGGTCACGATGAACAAAGAATTACTAGACTTCGAATAATAACGATTTGAATCCAATAAATTTCCAAGTAGTTTGAAATTCGAGAAAATGTATAAAAGTTTCGATCTATATGTTTCTCTTCCCCAAAAAATTCTGCGCAATTTGTTCTCCACAATAATCTATATACCCGAAGCTAAAAATCGGATCATTTTAAAACTACAAACTCACCGCGTAAAATTTTCTTTTTTTTTTGCAAATTTTCGGCAACCGATTCGTTAACGATGATCGAGGTGGTCACGATGAACAAAGAATTACTAGACTTCGAATAATAACGATTTGAATCCAATAAATTTCCAAGTAATTTGAAATTCGAGAAAATGTATAAAAGTTTCGATCCATATGTTTCTCTCTCCCAAAAAATTCTGCGCAATTTGTTCTCCACAGTGATTTATATACCTGAAGCTAAAAATCGGATCATTTTAAAACTACAAACTCACCGCGTAAAATTTTCTTTTTTTTTTTTGCAAATTTTCGGCAACCGATTCGTTAATGATGATCGACGTCACGATGAACAAAGAATTACTAGACTTCGAATAATAACGATTTGAATCGAATCCTAGGACGCAGGCGGTCCAGTATACGCAAGTTACACAGCTTGCAATTAGAAGCACCCATTACGAAAGTGATCACCCTCCTCTCTAACGCGATCATGGAGCTCGAGAATCCTGAGACAGCGGCGCAAATCGAGAAGGTAGGTACACTTCGATCTTCTTTACTATAAAATTCACATTCACGTTCAATTGCTTTTAATACGAATAACGATTATCCAGGCGATTGATATTCTCAAAACTACTGAACTTTACGAGCCAACTGTGAGAGAAGATGCCGATCCACTAACGACCGAGTTCGTCGAAGCTCTGCTTTCCGTAATGTTCAAAATATTCAATCATATACTTTCTTTCTTCGTCAGCTAATTCGCAAAGCAATTCTTTTCAACGATTAACCTTTATTTTTAACATTGATCGACATCAGTCGCCGAAGAAAGCACGGGAGTCGAGACGATCGTCGGTCGAATCGGCGCGATTTTTCGCTGAGAGGAGTGTCAACGATGTTCCGAGCTTGCACATGCAGATCAAGGGTTTCAAAAACCCCCAGGAGATCACGGATGTTCTTGAGAAATGTCTGGAATGGGACTTCGACATATTCAAGCTGGAGACTTTAACCGAGAGCAGGTACTTGATTTTCTATCGTACGTTTCTTACTAACGCGACGTTAATTAATTAATTAATTGTTCGCAGGCCACTACTCTTCCTTGGGATGACTATCATGAACGTGTATCGCGTACCCGCTAGGCTCGGCTGCGACGAGAAAATCGTACAAAAATGGTTGACCATCATCGAGATGAATTACAAGGTTCGAAACAGCTATCACAATTCAACGCACGCTGCGGATGTACTGCAGGCTACGGCCAGATTCATGCAGTCGGAAAGGTTGAAACTGATCTTGGAACCATTGGACGAGGTCGCGGCTCTTATCGCGGCCGCTGCGCACGACATCGATCATCCGGGTAGATCCAGGTGAATCAATATGAATCGATTTTAACGTAACCTACTTCCGCAAACTACTTCCAACGGTGGTTTTCTTGATACCAACTCAGAGCCAACACGCTTCAATCGATTTCAGTCAATTTCTTTGCAACTCCAACAACAAGCTAGCGATCCTCTACAACGATCTGAGCGTCCTTGAATCACACCACGCAGCACTGACCTTTAAGTTATCGTTATCGGACGACAGCGTGAATATCTTTCAAGTGAGTCACCGCGAAACAATTTTGCTAACGAATTTCCGTTCCAAAGGACAGAGAGATTTCACGTGTATTGTAATTCTCGTAGAATTTGGAAAGGGATTCATACAAACAAGTTCGTCAAACGATCATAGACATGATCCTGGCCACCGAGATGACGAAGCATTTCGAACATTTGGCAAAGTTCATGAATGTGTGCAGCGCGAGGATAATGGACAACCAACACATGGACGTAATAATGGCCATTTATGTTTGTTTTGTTCTTCGTTTGAAGTCGATGCAGTTTTGTTCTTCGTTTGAAGTCGATGCAGTTTGCATTTCGATTTAATTATCGATAAGTCTATTACAATGTCTGATTTCTGACGTGATATTAGGTGAGGCCGTTCGATTAATCGTCATGTTCAAAAATCTGAGTGCAGGTTTACCCGGACGCGGTGGATATGTCAGTTGTGTTGCAGCCAGAAAACGTGGTATTGGTGAAAAGAATGATGATCAAGTGCGCGGACGTGTCGAATCCAACTCGACCATTAAGGTTTTGCATCGAATGGGCAAGACGTATCGCGGAAGAATATTTTAATCAGGTACTCTGTCACTTCGATGAAACAAACGATCATTCATTTCTTGCCATTTTGATGTTCGAAATTCTTTACTAACTATTTTCTTTATTTTTACTCATTTCAATTGTTCTCTTCCGAAATAATTGCTCAAGTTCCAGAAGGTTACACAACAATTAATCAAGTCCTTTTATTTTTTAAAGTAATGAAATTTTAAGATTGTTAATTGCCCGAATTGTTGCGATACACTTTCTTTATAATTATGTCACTTAAACTGCAAAACGATCTTCGTCAGTTTTCTTCCTCACTTGCACTCTGTACTCCGAGCTTACGCGTTAAATAAATTATTCAGAGAAGAATTTGAAACGCGCGTGATTCGAGTGCGTTTTCGACGTTTTGCGATGTTTGAATTTATTGCAGACCGACGAAGAGAAGAAGTTGAGATTGCCGGTACTGATGCCGATGTTCGACAGATCAACGTGCTCGATACCAAAGTCGCAGATCGGTTTCGTCGATTTTATCATTAACGACATGATCGAGGCGTGGGATGGTCAGTCAGATGCATCTACGTTTTACTCTGTCTGTACATTTGCCTAACCCTGTTTTATTTTCAGCGTTCATCGACATGCCAGAGATGGTGGGATACATGAGGCACAATTACGATAAATGGAAGGAATACAACGTAAGAAATGAATTCTTGAATTTCATTCTTTCTCCTTGAATCGTCTTGCATTCGAGAACTAGAGTAAAATTATTATTTTTTTTTCTCTTTTATCAACAATTTTGATTCTTACCGATTTCTTCAAGGAAGCACGATTTTTTGAATTTTATGTCATCTTGAATTCTCCGATTCGAATGATTAAATAGTTAAGAAACACTAATTCTTAATTTTTGTTCTTCTTTGATTATCTTGTATCTTTCTTCAATGTTTTTCACTCGTCGAAAATTCTAGTACATTCTAGACTTTGGACTATCTTTATACAGAATTAAAAAATACTGACACCATGTATGATTAGATTTTATTTCTGCCTCTTGAATCTTGTACTTGCTAAAACTAGGAACGATTTAATTTTAATTTGAATTTTAATTTTGTGTGTTGTATTATTTTACTCTTATTTCCCCGAATTGTTCTTTCGTTTCTTTGCACTGCACTTCGAAAACTCTGTTGGACTCAATTATTTGTATTGGGTAAATGGAACAAACCATAATTTCATCACTAATTAGGAAATTTCAAAAATTTGGTAAACACAAGTAATATGTTTCTTGAACTGTCTTCTTCGATTTCTTTCACTACACTTTGGAAACTTTCCTGAATTCACTTATAACCAACTCGAAAAATAGAATGAACTATTTTAAGTTAAAAATATTATATAGTCTTCGTACAAACTTTACATTTTAATTATCTTGTCTCATACCTCTTCCACTATTTTTCAACATTATTAAATCTAATTATACTCGGAGAATGGAACAAACTATTTCCTTCGTCAACTAAAAAAATATCGTAATGATAAATATTCAATGTTTATTATTAATATTAAATATGTATATTAAATGTTAAATATTTTGTTAAATATTAAATATGTATATTAAATATTAAGTATTTCGTTAAATATTAAATATGTATATTAAATATTAAGTATTTCGTTAAATATTAAATACGTATATTAAATATTTATTAAATATTAAATATTTTGTTAATAATAGGAACGAGGCATATCAACTTTACTGGACATCGACAAGATACAAGAGCTCCCTGAATTTCGAATACGCCAACCTTCGTGACCCATGGAACTCAATCCCACTCATACTCTTTCGTCCGTCCCAAAATGCAATAGTTCCACGCAAATGATGTGTAAAATATTCGTAATATTTAAGGTTTAGAGATAAATAATAACATACGACACGCGTCGTACAGTTGTAAGGTTTTTTTTTTTTTTTTTTAGAAAATACACGTAATTCAACAACTCTGTTCTTATTATATCTTTCTTCACTCTCCTTCTTCTTCTACCTACCCATTTTCGTGAAAGCCCATCTATTTTAAACTCGTGACCGTCATGAAAGATACTTCGTTCTTTAATCATTTCTTTTCTTGAACGTCGGTGCCCAACCTAGAGAACTTTGAACGTGCTCAGAATTAACGAAGAAACAGAGTTTAATAACAATTATTCACGTTGCATCTTGTTAACCTTTTTTTTAAAATCAGTTTATTTCTTTTCTTTTCTTGAACTGCGTGATTAAAAGTTGGACAAGGAGAACTCCATCAAAATGCTAAAATAATTCAGTAAATCGTTCTAAATTCTCTATCTCTGGTATTTAAAGAAAAAAAAAAAAGTTCAATACTCTTTGATCCTGAGGAAGGATTTCTTAATTGAAAAGAACTCGATTGTCTTTATTGTTTTTTTTTACGTCGGATTTCACTTTATTGTTTCTCTCAGCCAATAAAAGGAAGTGATAGTGGGCCTAAACAGCTAGGCGATACAGATACTGTGTGTTATACAATTTGCGGAACGAAGATATTAAATATATCGGAATGGTTATCTTTTCGGTTATGTTTTTTTTCTTTTTTCTTTTTGTTGGATCAGCAAGAATTTCTCGCATGCATATACATTAATATGCCCTCTCGTTTATATAATAATGCTTTTATGTTCGTCTCGACACACTTGCTGTTACATACAGAGAAAGTTTATTTTAATTGTACGATGTACTATGAGGAGAATCTAACACTCATAAATATTGTTGCCATAAAACATCAAGTATATATACGTGTGTGTGAGTATATTTATCACTAATAATAATGAATTTAATGTTGTCAGATCATTCAGTTAGTCTTGTTTTGTTTCGTATGCTGTAAGTGTAAGCAACGAGGAAAAAATATATAGCGCTTCCGGTGAAAGCCGTTATCGTGGAACGTTACACACTGAGAAAATCGATTATAAAACTCGGTTACTAAGTCACAAAAAGTAATACATGTGTGGATGGTTACAAATTACTAATTATATTATATGTAATATGTGTACAACGCAGATTAGCTCCTAGAAATATTTTTCTTTCTCTCTCTCTCTTTCTCTCTTGCACGTGCTTTCTTTCTCTCCCTCTCTCTCTCTCTCTAACATACGTATAATCAAAGTCGTTTTATCCAGTATCAAAGAGACACGTTAAAACACTATAGTAGCCTAATTAATAACATGGGCAAAAGAGACAGAGCGCGTTTGTTTCTTCAGGCATAAATCTCTCTGCTTGATGGTGATATTAATAACGAAGAATTCAAACATTTTTCCTTGCTTCTTTTCATTTTTACGTTTCCCTCTTTAAATCTCGACTTACAAGTGTGCCTAACACATAACATTTCCAGAAAAACACGAAAATACGTTGAGAATTATCGAAAGTTCGAAGAGACATTACACATCGATTATCGATAAGTATTTGGTCGATTACGCGTTACCTAATCGTTTATTAAAAATCGTCAAGCTTACTATTTTAATATTATCACTATAATGCCGCAATAGTAGTACGTATATTTATTTATATATCTCGAGGCGTTTTTTCTTTTTTTTTTTTAATCAAACCTAAACAGCAAAATCAATCCTGGAATTATAATATAATTACAAATCTAAACGTTTTTGCTTCTCTCTTTTTGTTCTCTCGTGTGAATTCGTTTGTCCTTTTTTGCGCAAATTGTTCTCTATTTTATTTGTCTCGTTGAACAAGGTGGCATACTTTGTATACGTATTTTTCACTGTTTTTTTTCTTTTTCTTCTTTTTTTAAATTAATTAATTAGTTCGCAAATCAACTGCTGTTCATCGTATCAGTATGCCGCTCGAACGTATAAACAATTCTCTGTCGTAACAAATTAATCAAGTAATTAGTAAAGATACTTCCAAACGTGGCACGCACTTGTTTTGCTAAGTAACGAAGAAACTCGACAAATAACACGTACCCTAGCAATTAACAATACACGCTATCAATTATAGTAGACATCGTAATCTGTAAATAGACCATCCTCGATATTTAGAAACACATATCCTAAACAAATCTTCATTATTATTATTATATATTTTTTTCTCTTTCTTTTTTTTTTTTGGTGACGAGACTCGAGATTTCAATCCCGAAGAGCTCGTCGATTTTTTTCTTTGTTCTTTTTGATTGATTACCCTCTCGAGTAGCAACGTCAACACCGTAATAAAGTGTTTTCTCTTGTTTAAAAATCCGCACGTAAATATACACTCGTTATGGAGACCATCATCGGCGTCGAGGGGGAATTACAACAAGATCTTACGCACGCCAGGAGATTGCTCTCGCAGAGTATCGAGAGCTCGTCTCGACGAAGAAAATGCAAGCATCGCTCGTCGAGCGACTCCCTTTCTCTCGGAAAAACTCGTCGAAGAAACTGTACGTTTCTTTTCGCCGTGCAACATTGCGTCACACGAGAGTCAAAAAAGTGACGATCATACCGCCCCCTCGCGTGTAATCGCGCGATCGAGTGGTGCGCTCTCTAAATAACGGATACGTACACACGTTTCGTTTTGCTTTGCTTACGAGGCATGGAACTCCACACGCCAGCAAGTGCAATACGATTGGAAAACGAGTCGCATCCCTAACGACAAGTTTGGAGGACTTTAACTGAACAACGGTTGCAGCAGTAATCGAGTGACTGGTATGACTGAGTTGATATAATCGTCAACAAGTGACGACACATCGTGTCCATTGTTTTTTCTCCCCTTTTCTAAGCTCGAAGAGAGGGGAGAACTCGGAAACCCTTGAAACGAAAGAAAGTTTGGTTGGCTAAGAGGATGGTTTCCCTCAAGGTTCTTTTTACGGAGCAACGTGATACTCTCTCCGTTCGAGTCGCGGTGACAAATAGAAGAGTTCCACAAGACGCAGCGTGCCAGAATTATCAGGAAACAGTGAGTCAGAGGTTCGGTTACGCGTGCCCCTCCCCGACATTGAAATACGTTTTTCGTCGAGTGATATTTCTGGACGAGAGCCAGTAAACGTCACCATCGTGGGAGTATCCGAAAATTCACTCCCGTATCTCTCTCTCTCTCTTTTTTCTCTCTCTCTCTTCCTCTTGTCCGTGCACGTTCAAGAGGCATCCGGAGACCGCGCCTATTTAAGCTTCCCGAGCTTCCGTCGCTGAATCAGACAGTCGAAATTCACATCTCCGTACCGCGTTGCATTTCTCTGCTCCTCTAAGTTCTCCTTCTTCTACGTGCAACGAGAAAAGAAAAAGAAATATTCAAAAGGTGCGTGCTCTTTTTTCCCCCCCGTGTGTGTTTTCCACGAGGGTTGTCAGACATCTCTCAGGTTTCCAAAAAAAAAAAGAAAGAAAAGAGGAAAAAAATGAAAAGACAGCATGATCGTACTACTGCTCGACTGTACCGGAAGCTTCTGCCGTTATTGATCGTTCTGCGGCACGATCTCCCTTGTTTCTTCTTTTTTTTATTGTTTTTCTATATTTTTTTCTTTTATCTCTCGTTTTATTTCTCGTCAGTGTGAATCGGTCAGTGTTCTCGCTTTCGCCGGACGAAAAAAAAAGAAAAGACGCGCAACGACGTTTCACCAACGTGTGAAGTAGTAACCTAAAATAGTAAGGATCCTAAGCTGCACTTAAGGACTAAGTACACGTCTACTAAACGTCATCTTAACCGTTCAAAAGTGTCGGTATCGGCTAAACCGATTAGCGTTAGAAATCCTTAACCTTAGGGAACTGTAGTACTATGTTGTTGAATTCTTATTATCTTTTTTTTTTTTCTTCTCTTCTTCTTCTTCTTCTTCACGATACGTCTCGTAAATCGACTGTACGATCATCGATCAATTGTCAACGATATTATCCGTTCGGGCGCGTACACGGATGGTAATCGACGCGCCAAATCGCGTAATCAAAAGACACGGTTTCTTTCTCCTTTTTTTTTACTTTCTTTTTTTTTTTTTTTACCAAAGAATTACCTTCCATTAAAACACGCGTTTATACGATTATTACACGCTTCGTACTCCTCCCTTATTAAACCCTAAAGAAGTTTCGCGCATGGATATATCGAGGATAATAGTTTCTCTTCTCGTAACGTCGAAACGTAGTGGTAATAGTACTAGTAATAGTAGTAATATAGTAGTTTAGTAATAGTAGTAATAGTAGTAAATAGCATTTAGGAAACTTAGCAAACTAACTTATACTTTAAAAGTACGATCGTCGTAAAGCATGATTTTAACAGCTAAGTGTATTTGTCATTAACTCCTCGCGTTCCTTCCTGTCTTCTACACAATCCCACCTAACATATTGAAATTTTTCTCCTACCGTTCGTTCCTATTATCGTCTCTCGTGTGTAATCATGAGTTTAGTATATATTCTGATCGTGAAAAATTAGCAAGTTCTTAATACCGAAAATACTTGGACGATCGAGGAAATATGGTGATTTGTGTATGCTTCTCTTCTTCGGCTTGATTTTTAAAAAAAAATGATATCCGGGGTCTCTTTGATGTGTATTCCTGGTTGCTACAGCCGAGATTTTTTTACACGTTCGATATAAGTTGGTCAGAAGATGTTCCGTGTACAATTTCTGTCGCCTTTTTCGATTAGAACCGCTTCCTGTCCTGTTTTCCTCCTCGTCCTCGCGCCTATACACCTAGGCTCCTTACTTACACGTAACCTAAAGCTAATAGCTAGTAAGTTATGCTTAATTCGATGGAAATGCAATGCCTTAGTATAGTTTCTTTTCTTCCGTCTTTGCTGTTCTAACACGCTGCAGACGTTGTAGACGATATTTTTAGTTCTAGATGCCCTTCTGACAAACGCGCATCCTCCCCCTTTTTCACCGGAGAAACACACCCGCGTGTTTTGACGTTCCCGAAAACAGAAAAATTCGCCACGCGAGTCTTCCCCCTTCGATTCTAAACGGAAATTACCTTTTACAGTCGCGGATGGTATCGCACAAACTCTACTACGTATGCTCTCTATTCGCGGAAAGTCGCCGTTTTTTTTTTTTTTTTTTTTTTTTTTTTCTTTCTTTGATGTCACGAACTGTTAATTTCTTTTCCTTTTCTTTTCTTTTTTTTTCTTTTAAGTACGCGCGATACGCGTTTCTTTCTCTAGTAAGAGTCTCCTATTCTCTACTTCTACCTTCGATTTTCAGATTTTCGATCGAGGATTTCAAACGATCTCGATTGTTTTAAATGTCATATCTCTGTCTCTTTAGTTCCAACATAACTAAACGCGCGACGAGTTTTGCTTTCGGTTGGGATTCGGGCTCGCCAACGAGCGAGTAAGTGTTATCGAATTGTATCGTACGCACGTTTCCGAATTACGACGAGAGATATCAAATTGTCCCGGCTTTGGACTACCGTTTCTCGATGAAAATGTCACGAGATATTGATCATCGACGCGAGAAAGATTCGAAACGGATCGCTAGTAACTCTCCTTATTACTTATAACTCCCTAAAAAGTCACCTGCTGTGCGTTCAAGTTAGATCCTAACTGATATAATATTCGTCGATGAAGATACGCTCGAGGAAACGCGTAAACAATAGACAGAACAACACGGTTGTTACTTTGCTCTGTGTTAGAAATCGAGACGTTTACTACAATATGCTAATATCAGCGATAACAGCAGCAATATCTCCGCGACGTCTTAAACGATTCCCTTCTCTCACGTCCACATTCAATCTGCTGATAGCCGCGCGTTAACGCTAGAAGTCACGTAATCTTCGTAAAAGAGAATCTCAGTCGCACAACGATCGCGTGTGTTTTGCATTCCGGTATCAGTATATTATCGTTTAATTACAGTCTTTGCGCCTGAGGTGAGTATCTACTTTAAGATCGTGTTCCTTATTGTAGCAATGTAACGACAAGCGTGCCATTTAACGCGCGTTTGAGCGCTTTTCTTTCTTCTTGTTCTTTTTTTTTTTTTTTTATTATTTTTTCTTTTTTCTTTTTTTCGTTTGAAGCCCAAAGAAAATTTTCCAAGCATGTTTCTTAAGTAAAAACAGCTTACACCCTAGCTCTTAATCCGTCGAACGCGTTGTAAAAAACGCTCGATCGTCCTAAAATACGATAACTTTAACCAGGTATGTAACAACGTACAGAATTCCTCCTTCCCTTCTCTGAAATTTTCTCACGTGTTCATCGTGATCGTTTCTCGTCGTTGCGCGATCTACGCTATACATCCCGTGTCCGGGTGATCGAGAAGCAAGAACTGACCGACTGATCTTTGCCGACTTTCTCCATATTGTTGACCACCTTTTGTTTCAGATGTCGGTGGTCCCGCTGATGTTCCGTGACTGGTGGGACGATTTCGATCGACCCGTGTCCCGACTGATGGACCAACACTTCGGCAGAGCGTTGAATCGGGACGAGCTCCTGTCACGATTCTCCGATCTCGGCCTCGAGAGACCTCCTCTACGCTCGATCTTTCGAGACAGGTACTACCGTCCATGGAGGAACGTGGCACGCCAAGCCTCGAGTGGATCGAGCACCATTCAGATCGACAGCAAGAACAACTTCCAGGTTTGTGGCCATCGTTTTATTCGCTCGCGTTTGTCGAGCCAGATCTCGATATTCTGCTGAATGTCGCGAGCAAATCGCGACTCGTTTTCAAACTGAACGCAGGTGACTTGCAAAGCCCTTGGGGGGATGGTGCAGGATATGTGTCGAGTGGAATCTTGATCTCTTTTTTATTCTTGGTCTACTTCGTTCGTTCGCGATGATTGTGATTTTTCTTGACTTTTCTTTGGTGCACGGTCGGGGAAGTGGGTCCAATGACGTATGGTGGATGCGCGAAGGATAGAGAGAGTTCGGTTCCGTTGTGACTGACTTCCCGCTGTTGACATTGGCGAATGAGGGAAAGTATTGCTGTTCCTTCTTTTTTTTTTTCTTTTTCGTTTAGTATTGTCTTTAATTGTCTCATTCTCCGAGGATCTTGTCGAGAATCCTTTCTAGAATGGATGAACTCGGCGAGGTGGGTGTGTACGCGATTGGATGTACTATCCGATCGGGTCGTAGAGAATCGCGAGCCATATCCATAGTTATCACTCGATGGTACCGAACCACACCGATTGTCCAGGAACAATAGGTATGATTACGACTACGCTTTTGGTTCGAGTGATAACTATGGATACGGGTCAAATGTGATCTCTTGGAAGACTACAGTCGAATCAGGACTATCGAATCAGGACTGTCGAATCGGAAATCACCGGTGCAGGACAATGGGTAGTTCGTGTCTCAAGGATCGATCGTTATCACCACGGTGTGATCTGACAATCGCATAATCTGAGGAATGTTCAGTCTCGGTCGAATTCAATCCTGGAGAATTTCCTCTTTGTTACAGTTTACTACGAAAGAATTTGGAGCAATTTAGTTGGCACGCGTTCTCAGATGATCTGACTCGGTGTATTGACAGTGTACACACACGATTGCTATTTCTGTCAGTGTGCCTGACGTGCAGTGTGCTTTTGATGTCTGTTTAATTTCCGTTTGCTGGCCGTCCGCGGTTTCAGGGCTAAGCAAGCCATTCGCATTCAGTATATTAAACTTTGTTCGTGTCGGATTCGTTTCTTTTTTTCGACTATTAAATCTTGTTGCTCGTTACTTCGTTAACTTCTCTGATGGCCTCTCTGAAATCGTCGATCATGAATGTTCGTTTATCAGGCGCGATAAATTATTGTACGAGGAGGGGCGCGTGGCACGCTTCAATTTTTTGCACCGATTTAACTCGTGCGGCTTCACTTTATGCACCGTTACTGCGAGAACTCTCTATAGGGATAGGAGGGGGGCAGAGATGTTATAAATGGCTGCAACGTACGAAAGATGACCTCGCAACTATACTTTGCGTTACAATGGGGAACGATTTGACGTCGTGACGTGTTCAGTCGACGACGTGAAAAAATTTACAAAGTCTACGCCTCGGCGGCTGTTTTCTCGTTTCAAAAATTCGCGTCCGTGTGTGTCACAAAGATGGGCGGGGAGAAGAGGGGGGGGGGGGAGGGGGGGGGGGGGGGGGAGTACTGCTGCACAGAGAGGATGAATTTCTCTCGTCTTCTGCAGGATCTCACGCGTGCGTGGAATCCCACGGAAGAGGAGAGTTTAAAGGGAAAAGGGGAAAAAGAAAAAAAAGAAGAGATTAAAGTGCCTTGGAGTGTCGCGTTGATTCGTTACGATTGATCGAGGCTGAGAAAAACAGGGACAAAGAAGAGAAGACAACGCCTGACCGATCAAAAGATGTTCTCGTTGAATTGTCTCGTCGCTCAACCGGAAAAATGTTCTTCGATTTTGTTTGGTAAACTGTCGAAAAGGAAGATAGCCGACAGACTACGCTGTTTGGCCTAGGTGAGACAATTTGGTTCCTTAAACCTGGATGAAACTTCGTTCGCGCGATAATTTTGGGTTCTTCCTCGAACCTTTGGAACGTTCACGTGCCCAAAATATAGTTTGCGACACGACATGCAGCTTAATTTTTCTGCTCGATGAATGGAACAGACACAGATGTGCTTGAAATTCGTTGGAAATTTAACGCTCTATTATAACTCTTTTATTGCTAACGTTCGATCGGATTTTGAATGGTCGTCGAGCCTCGATATATCCTTGTACTCTGTTATTATAGCACCAGGAAAGAACTGTTCAGACAACGACTATCCCATTCCACTTCCGGCCAGAGCCGGAAAGCAATGGGATAGCCGTTGTTGATCTTAAACTGTACGAATAGAAGTTGTTGGTTATACAAGAGGATTTCTCGGGTTCGTCAAGCGAAAACGGACTTTTATTCGAGATACTAATTATTGCTAATGCTACCGGAGCGTTATATTAGACTTGTGAAAGTTGCGATTTGATGTGGAAACTCGAGTGGAAACTCGAGTGAAAACAGCTCGTAACGGCTGTAGGAAAATATCGATCAAAGATCGCCTGAGAATGCTCTCGACAATAGAAACGAGAAAACAAACGGCAAAAGTAAGCGCGAACTTCTACAAACGAACACTTTTTATAAAGACACTATATATATATATATACTATATAGATATATATATATAATATATATGTATATACACTTATTGTAAAAGCTTACGTGTGTTCGAAGATCAGAAAAATGGTTGTCTTTCGTTTACTTTCTCTACGTATCGGTATATCTGACGGTATTCGAACTGGATAAAACGCCTGGGATATATATATATATTTTAATAACCTTTCGAGCATAAATTTGTCTAAATGCACACCACACACACACTCGATCTTCTCTTCTCTTTTTTTCGTAAATTTCCTCTTCTTCTAGTTAATGTTTTATTACATCGAATATAAGCTGTTTTATTCGTTTGCTTTTTTCCCCTCCTTTCTCTCTTTATTATTTTTCTTTTTTTGTTTTTTTTCTCAAATAACCATTGTAACTTAATAACTCTTGGCTCAACATCAAGGGATTATTTGAAAGCTCTTTTTAATCAAGTAATTATATCGCCACCAAGCTAAATACGCTCGATAATTCGAGTATACTGGATTAGAACAGGCTAAACATTTACTGGCCCATATCTCGTTTCTTTTTTTTTTTTTTTTTTTTGTAGTGTTTTACTTTCTCATGATAAATGTGCTTTTATTGGAGTTTTTTTAATACAGTGAGCGAAATATCTGTTCCACTATTCCGCGGTTTGACAATCGATTAACTTAGGCTGAGACAATCTAAAGTGATAACCTCTTTTTTATATGTGTGTATGTATATATATATATATGTATATATAGATATATATTCTCGTTTTTATAGACTTTTATTATAGGTGTCGTCCAGCAAGTGCGGGAACTATCGTTGGAAATTTATGCGCGAGTCTAAGAACGGTAAGAACGAAAGAGGGGGGAAAAAAAAAGAAACGTAAAAAACTGCGTGTCGCGAAAATCGCGATGTGTCGAATATTATTTTTCAAGACCCAGAAATTGAGGAACGGAAGGGAAAAGTGTATAGGGAACTGAATAGGCGCATTCGTAAAGAGGGATACGGGAAGGGGTGAAGGAGGATGGTGCGATTCAAAGGGAAAGTGCTTAATAAGAGGGGGGGGGGGGGAAATTTGGGGGAAATGGAACCAAATGAAAAAGGGGAAAAAAAAAAAAAAGAAAAATTAACTAAAAATATCGAATATCTCTACGATTGATAAACAATAGTATCAACGCAACGCTATTGCGACGAAGCAGCTTGATCGTCGAATTGAAAGTAACTACAGGTGAAGAAAAACAAAGTTATTAAGAGAAGTTATAAGAGAAGAAAAGAAAACAAAACGAAAAGAAAAAAAAAGCGAGCACACAATTTTCAAGAAATACGACTAACGAAACAAACGAAAGAACTGGAACACCGGAAGGCCCGAAAACCGATTTCTGTTTCTGCCATTACTACTACTGCTATTACTACTGTTGCTGATGGTGCTGCTGCCACTGCTGCTTTCCCTCAGCATGTTCGCTTTTTGCTGCATAATCGAATCACTATCGTTCGATTGCGACGCGAAAAAAGACTCGAAAAAATGGGTTTTTCTCTTCGCGCTTTAAATGGTTCGCCTCCCGTTTCAAATGGTTCACAGCACTGTGCTATGTAGTATAAAGATTTAGAACGTTTTTTCGGGACTGTTAGAATTTTCGACTGTTGGTTCCTTTTTCCTCCTTTGTTTTTCTTTTTTTTTTTTTTTTTTTTTTTTTACACAGGAACCCCCTCCCTCGAAGAAGAGGGGGCTTAAAAGACGTTTTGGTAGGATGAAGTCAGGTCTCGAAAACTACTGTCTTTTTTTTTTTTCTTCTTTTTCTGTTTCTTCAAAACGGCTCGAATAGCGGAAAAATTGTTAAAATTTTGTAGCAAAAGAAATTTCCCTGCGCACAGTCCGAAACGTGCACGCGACTATTTCCTGACAGACACACACTTTTTTTTATATATATATGTATATATATACCGGAAGTTCCTTTCTAAAATCACAGTTTAACCGGCTTTCGCCATTTTCATCTTTTTTTTTTTCTCGTTTGCTCTTTAACCCTTAAACTCACGAATGGATCTTGTTTCTGTTTCAACAAACAATGCCGAATACCTCGAAGTATGTTCGAAGAGGACGACTTTTCTCTGTCATTAAAATCCGAAAAACACGGATTGTGTCACGTGGGTATCGCGTATCAGTCTTCTTTTGTTTCTTTTTTTTTCTTCTGCTTCTTCTTCTTCTTTTGTCGACAGAAAAAACCGAGAAAGTGTGAGGTGTGCGTCGGAGCACCCCCCCTTGAAAGCGGGGGTGCCGCTCTCGGACTAAAAAAACGGCTTTCCTTTTGGAAACTTTCGGATCTCTTTTTCTCTCTTTATGTCGCTATGTATAATGATCTCTATATAAAAATAAATGCTTCTCGAATCATCAACGATAAGACCATAGAAAACGATTCAATACGAAATACTCTATATATTATATATATAGAAAAATGCAGACGCGCAATATGTCTCTCTCTCACTCACTCTCTCTCTTTCTCTCTCTCTCACTCTCCACCACTCTCTCGCTCTGTCTCTTTCTCTCTCTGTATACAATACGCAGCAGCACTGGAGATTTTAAATCTGTTTATTGGTCTCTTGCTACTTTGCTCGAAATGTGACGAAAGAATGCGAAGGTTTCTCGGTTGTGCGCGTGCAATTTTGCTTTTCTCTTTTACCTCTCTAAACCTTGAAAAATGCTCCCCGGGTCTCGGGTGTGATCACCCGAGGGACCGCGGTTCGCTTTTTTCAAGTTCGGTATCGCCAAGTGCGTTCACTCTCTCTTTCTCTCTTTGAACTACTATCTCCGTTTCCAAAGTGGAGCTGCTAACCACAAGATTGATAGAAACTGGTCAAGTCGAGATTAAAAGAAAAGAAAGCGAAAACACGCGCGTCAACGCGACGAATGTTTCCCTTCTCTTGCTCAATGGTAAAAAAAAAAAAAAAAATGATCCCTACTACAGTTGCATCTTAATAGCTCGTCCTCTCCCTGCGAATGAATGAAAGAACAAAAATAGGGGGGAGAAACGATGTTACAAATAGGCGGGGGGGAAATCTTGTCAGCTACATTTTCCCGGTTTGCTCTCGACGTTCTCGACGATTACACATTTACGAATCGAACCGAAATTACAAAACGCTGGTTTGTTACATGAAAGATATATTAACGGTGAAGGAATAACGAAGAACAAGCAAGATCTTTGCCAACGGGTACGAAGTTGAAAAGCTGCGATTATCTCTTACATTTCTCCTTTTCTCTTTCCTTTTTTATTCTCTTTTCCTACTGTGTCTTCATACTCTTTAATAAACTCCGACGAATCCTCGCGATTACAAGCTACTGGCGTGGATAATTCGAGTTAACCGGAAGAACGGATTTTAGTTTATATACTCTGTTTTTTCTTTTTGCCCGCTAATTTATTCTCTTTCTCTCTCTCTCTCTCACACACTCTCTTCCTCCCGAGCTCACTGTTGTCAAGAGCGATTAACAAAGGTTTAGAAACGGTTTTGTGCGTATGGTAGCTAATAAGCTGACTGTGTGTTGTAAACTTCTCGTGTATCCAACGAGCGGAGACCTAAACTCTTCCAGAGAAGGAAACTCGTTAATCTCGAAGATACACAGACTGGGCTGGCTAAATCAAATTAATCGTAGACGTAGAGGTAAATCTCGAAGCAGCAGGCGAAGGCCTGGCCTCGCCTCTGCCTTAAAAGCGGCGTTAAATCTCAACGAGCGCGAGTTTCTCCCGGTACAATACGGCTGGATAAATCGGTGGAAAAAGCCTGAATTATTACTCTCGCAACAAACGACGAATTTTTATATTTTATAGTGAGTCAGCGGTGTGTACACAGGGCGTGTGCGGCCCAGAATCGAATGGTAGAAAATGTATATATCTCAATGGTCGTACGGACAATGTATGTTATAGCCTCTTTGACATTATCGTATCGGTTATCATCACACGTAACATCGTGCGCTCCCGCAGAAAAACCGACGAACTCGTTCTTTTTTTCTTTTATTTCTTTTCTCTTTTTCCCCCGTTCGACCTGTCTTAAATCCCTTTGTTCTCTGATCTGCGCAGGTAATACTGGACGTTCAACAATTCTCACCGGAGGAGATCACGGTGAAGACGGTGGGTAACGACGTTATTGTCGAAGCCAAACACGAGGAGAGACAAGACGAGCATGGATTTGTCAGCAGACACTTCGTACGAAGATACGTCCTGCCTCCATCTCACGATGTGATCAACATTACCTCGAGCCTTTCTTCCGATGGTGTTTTAACTATCACCGCACCCAAAAAGGTAACGAGACGAAGAGGAGAAGGGCTCGGCGGCGAATCCGAGCGAGGGACTCGCCCGATGCTTCTCGATTCGCAAAGCTAGAGGCGCTCTAGGAAAATGATCCGTTCCCTTTCTAGCTTTCTTTCTGTTTTTTTTTTTTTTTTTTGTTTTGTTTGTTTTCTCTATGTTTTTTTTATTTTTGTATTGTTTCCCCGTTCTATTTGACTCTGTATACTTAGTTTTTTTTTTTTTTTTTTTCTTTTTTATTTTATTTTTTTTTTTTTTTTTTTTTTTTTTTTTTTTTTTTTTTTTTTACTTTTCTATGTTACTGTTTTTTTTTTTGTTCTCAATTCCAACGTTCCGTGTGCCCTCGTGGTAGAGAATTCGTTTAGACAAGATGGTGCCGACGATTTATTCTCGACCTCAAACTACGAGTCTGCTCTAAACTATAAAAAGAACGTCACGTTGGATTAAAGAGTTTCACGTGGATGAGGCACATTCGTAAAAGTATTTGTAACGCGTTTATCGACTTTAACTCGATAGCTCGACGAGCAAGATTTATCATGATTATCCCGCAAGATACGATGTATAATCGATAATTAATCGGAGATATATATCATTTATATATTACACATATAGAATCGATAAAAAAATATCGAAAGTGAAATTGAAAGTAGTTAAAATCGATAATGTTCAAAACTAGCGAGTGCTCCTCATCGAAATATCAATTAATAGATCAGCAAGTACTTTACGATACACTCAGTATTGAGCAGACATCGTGAAAATACATTGTAAACCTACTTAGCATAGAGAACAACTACGAACGATCACTAATGATGCATAGTTGAATGTGTGACTAAACAGGCTAGAGTGACGCTACGTGCCAACAATTTTGATTGAAAAGAATTCTTCGAATACGTGGCTTCGAAAAGAGAAGCGATGTATTGTATCATTGCGACGTGAAAAGTGTTCCCGAATTCACATATGTTCACATATATTGCAGTTTATTTATATAATTGCATTTATATATAATTGCAGTTTATTTACAATTACGTTTCGATTAAGAATATAATGTTTCAAATTGCACGATTGGGTAGCGACACCATGAGCCCCGGTATGGTTAATTAAGTTTCTTAAGACTCTTATTATTAACGTTAAGAATTGTAGAACAATAGAAATAGAGTACGTCGGTTCAATGACCGCTTACCTAAGGCATGTATTCTCGAGGTGCTCTTCTCAAATAGTTCAAAATGTGTGAAGAAATTTCGAACTCTAATCAGACCAGATTATGGTTGCGTACGGATTGTTCAAGCACCGACCCCGTAGGGTTCACTATAAAAACAAATATAAAAAAGCCTCGTTCATTTTGCTTTCCCTCTTACGGTCTACGTGGCTAACTAATATGTTACGTTCTCTTTCAGGAAGAGACACCTAGCGGCACCGAACGAGTCATCGAGATCACGAAAACTGGAATGCCGGCAAGTAAACCGGTCCAAGTAGAAACGGCCACGGAAGAAAAGTAATCGCCACGCCCGGAAACGTTTCGACTCGATTCGTATTTATAAGCATTTTGTGTCTCAATGTAAAAATCGTTAAATAGAATTTCATATGACAATACTATGAATCGGAAAAAATCATCGACAGAAGAATTATTCATAAATAATACATACAAGTTATTTGATATAATAAAAGCGAGTACATAATGACATAAATATTCAAACAATATCTGTATATACTTCTTAACTGCATAAATATCAGACTTAACTCATTACTTTTGTTTTACCTTCGCCAACCATCTAGTAGACTTGATATTATTTATCATAGTAAGTTACAATGACCTAGTAGTGTAATAGTATAGTATAAATGACCATTTATAGCTAGTTTAAATAAATGACCAGCTAGTATAAATTCAACAATATATATATATATATCATCTATCTATAATTACAATGACCTAGTAGTGTAATGACCATTTATAGCTAGTATAAATTCGACTAGCTATATATCATCTATCTATAGTTACTAGTAGTGTAATAGTATAGTATAAATGACCATTTATAGCTAGTATAAATTCAACAATATATATACCATCAATCGTAAAACAAAAGTAACGTCGTGGAAGCGTAAGCTTTCAGTAAAAAAAACCAAACCACGAAACTACGTAGTATTCATAAGTATATATATATATATATATATGAAAAAAAAAAAAATGTCAAAACTACTTAAAAAAGCTAGGAATACCCACGGTAAACTGTCGCGCTCCGCACCGAATCCGTCTCGTCTACATTTTCTCGTGTTGTCAGCAGCCTCGTGGACCACGTAAAAGAAGTAGAGGTATGTTCACTGGTTTGGTGGGTCTTCGGGTCTTCGCTGCGTCCGAACTGAACGAAAGTTTGTTTACGAATGCGCCGAGCCAAGCCGGCCGGCCCTCTTATATAGCCGTGCGGCGTCGCAGTGCTGAATGTTCGAGAAGTTGTCCCGGCAGCCGGCGTCTAATGCGCATTTTCTTTCAAACGGTCATTTCTACACGTTTCCGGTCGTCAATCCGACAGCCGCCGGCATCATCGTGTTCCCCGTCTCGCCAACTATCGTTCGATGACACGATCGCCGCCGTCTGTTTCGTCTTTTCGGCAAAAATAGGCAAAAACCAAGTATTGATCGGCGAAACGTCGACGAGATTTCTAGTACATTCTCCCACCTAGACCCCCACCACGGCACCCGGCTCACACACACAGACACACCCGTTTCCTTCTTTTCTGATACACGTACGCGCGTACACGAGCGAACGAACGGTCGAATTACGTGATGGAAACAAGGAACGACTAACCTCGTGTTTATTTGTATGTTTTGTTTTCGTCGTTATGTCATGGGAAAGAACCTTTAGTTCGACGAAAATATACGCAGTTGACGAAATCAAGGACGGACCGAGGACGCCCAACAACGACGCCAGTTGCTACGCGTAATTTCTAGAAATTCGCCGGCCACGTCCGCGCCTCTTGTTTGTTAATTGCCATGGACAGTGCCGACAGTTGTGTTTTCAGACCTCATACAATTAGAGAATGTTGGCTTGTGTTCAATCTTCGAACGAGTGCTTCTCCTGTTTTCCTTTACTATGCCTTTAATAACCGTTATTCCGCAGGTGCGAGCGAGGAGACGATGCACGTTGATTCTTCGACGTTAGAGACGCTAAAAAAAAGGCATAATTCAACAGCGTTGAAATTACTGTCACGGCGCAATGCCGGACCCGGCCATGATTTTTTAGAAACGTGTATTTCTAGGAATTTAATTAGACGCCTCTCCTCTCGATCGAGTACAAGCGAGACGCAAATACCTGAAACTTCTTTATTTTACGCACGTAAATGCCAGAGGATTGTTCTACGAAGTCACTCTCGCGGTGGGAACAGCAATGGCCAGTTAACAAAGCAAAATCCCGGCCGGATCACCCGGCGCTTTATATAAAACTGCGTAGTTATCTCGAAACATATGTTCGCTGGAAACAAACTTTGTTAATAGAGCAGGACGAAAAGGAAGGCAAGGGATGTCTCGTCGTCTTTGAGACAATTCGACGAATGTCGTAACATTAATGCACGTGAGGCAATCGGACGACAATATATCGTGCAAACATAGGTCAACATTCCGAGGTTAGTGCACCATTGCGCGATAGCTGACGCAGCTGATTAATCGCGCGATAATTTGATCGCTGTTTACGCTGTTTCGTCTAATTTCGGGTCGCTACGGCCTTCCAAAAACCAACGACGCCCATCGTTCTTGTGCAAAGGGCGCGTATTATTGCGCAATACAGGTTTCACGCGACAGCTGTAGCTCTATCGATTTTCCGTGTGCGTCTTCTGACCTAAGTGCATTGGATCTTGCCTGAGAGTCGCGTAATTCATGCAAGTCCCCCTTATTCGTGGGAATAAGAATTGCGGCCGAGAGGCCATGCACTCTAACGATGTAAATGCCCTTTGTAAAAGCCTTTCAAACGTTATAACATATGGAGTAATATCGAAGGGCGAAAGAGGAAACGAACGGGCAACCTGGTCGTGGAAAACGGGTACGCACAAAGACGGGCAGATGTTCACGATAGATTCACACACACAGAGTGAACTGGGAGGGGCAAGAAATAAAACCGGAATGTGTAATGTAACGTCGGTCGACGTATCCAGCTGGATGCAGACCGCGTGTCTCAACGTTCTCAATACATTCTCTCAGGTACACGGCTGCGTAACATTCTGGAACGATACGGTTTCGTAGCTGTGAAAACTCTGTGTACATGTGCACTGTGTAATTAATACAGTCTGGACGATGCGTTTTATCGAATGCCATACTAGTTTAGCTAGTGTCGATTGTGCAATGGCGGCCGACTAGGCCAGCGATATATTTAGAAACTAGCATATAGTTGAAGATGATCGTTCTTATGCGACTTGATGCGGTCGTGACGTTCGTAGAGTTCGTATACCTTGCTAGTCGTAGGCGTTCAACGTTCTAAAATTATACTTTATCCGCTGTCGCCATGTGCAACCGACGGCCGTCTTTTTCTCGACCGTGCGCCGTCGTTCGGCGTGAATTGTACCTGGAATTTTGGCGAATTGAACGGAGAAACGAATTGAGATGCGGAGGAAAGTGATATTATGGAAAAATAAAGGAAATAATTGAACTAAAAACAGGAATAACGTGTTCGAAATGCTTCGGTCTCTCGGTTTCCAGAACGTTCCACAGTCGGATGCAGCAGGTAATCAATAGCTGCAGCGGTCGAGCAGTTTTATATATATATATATATAAAGAGAGAGGGAGAGAGAAGTGAGAGACAGAGAAATGCCCACCGAAGTATATCTATAGCGAATATTTCATTTTTACACATTGACGTGTTTTTAATCGCGTACTCTTGTGTCATTCTTTTTGTACAGCGTTTAAACACGTAATTAACCCTCTGGAGAAGATCAAATTCTGACGAATTTTTTGGAAATGTGTTACCCGTGATGCTGAATGTTGCGTCGAAATGACAGGCGGGAAATTTCGTTAATTCCCGTTTATGCAGATACGAACAGTCAGAGCCAAAATGAGATTAATATTCCGCTAGGGTTACAAATAACCTGAATAACGTTTCCCTGTTTTGCATTCCATTTTGTTTTGTCAACAAGCTGCGGTTAGAGTTCCGTGTTGTTTACACGGTAGAGTGGTAATACATGTACATAAAAATAGACCGTGGATAAAAAGTTATCGTCGGAGAGCTTTAAAGATACCACGAAGAGAGTTGAATCGTTGATTCGATAGCGTTGCATCCTAGTCTCCGTGAATAAATTATACGAAACGATGCATAATTATCTTGTGTTGATAGTGTACTTCAGAGGGGAAAATATCAAATCACTCTGCAGAAGTACTAATAATAGGTTTACATCCAACGATCGCTGCGTTCTACGTATTACACAATAAAGCGTAACTCTGCAGAAAGTTTCGTTTTACGTCGTCCAGTTCATTTCCATTTCTGTCTAGATACCGTTCTGATGTTCTTCATGCATAAATAAAACGATTACAGAGACACGTTGCTTGTCCAGTTCGCTCTAATGAAAAAAAAAGAAAAAAAAACATCACGATGATTTCAATTCTAGGAAAACGATGATTTCAAATGCCGCGAATTTAATAATAATTTAATGTATATCGCTTTGTGAATTAAAAGCAGATATCTTGCCGAAAGTGATTTTCGCCGTGAGAGATAGAATACAGACGCGATCGGAGTTGAAAATTCTAGAACCGCCCCATTATTGATTCAAATTGTAACAACGTATTTACGGAACGTGGCGTTGCGCAGAATTTCCATGTCAGAAATAAACTTTTCCACGTTGTCACCTGATTACGTTCTTAACTCTCTGGAGGTCGTGCTTCATATGACAAATACATGGAAAATCTAATTTTAAATATTTTTAAATCGGTAATTTAGCTTACACGTACTGTAATTATGTCTACGTGATGCACCGACTCGTGATCAATCGATTCGGAGGTGATTCTACAATGAATTAAATTTTTTTTCATTGAAGCCTTCCGAGAAAATCGAGTTTGAAAATTGATCAATTATATTTGAACTCAGGTAATTTTAGACGTGACAGAGACATAATTAACTGGAAATTCTAAGTATAATAACATGTAGAATGTAGAATAAAATTTCTTCGTGGAATATTTCGTTTTCAAAAGAATTGAGTTTGAAAATTTATCATGTTGATACATACTAACTGTTGTACTAAAGTCTTTTACAAAATATTTTCAAAGTCTATTTTCTTGAAAATGACACATTAAACGAAACAATTTTATTGTATATTATCCATTTATATTGCACGTAAAATATTGCTAAACACAATTAGCCAAAGTCTGGTATACTTGAGAAATTTTCAAACTCGATTTTCTCGAAAACGAAGACCTTAATGAAAAAAATTTTGTTTTTTTCGACTCGTTTTTATATGTAGACTTACTTTTGTATATATATTTCATATTAATTTTAGTAGAATTAAAAATATCTCGTGTATTTATACGATCTGTTCGCAAAAATTAGCGCTGCAGCTAGTGATAGATTTTAAGTTGTTATGTCTCTTGGAATTATCTCTCAGAATAACCTAACCTCCAAAAGAATTTTTATGACCGCGGCCACCACAGGGTTAACGTGGCTATACTCTTGATGTATTATCGCATCAATTAGCTTGCTTCGTTATGTAGATCATTGAGGACAATGCTGTGGTTATTGTGAAAATAGAACGACTTTAAATAGAAACCACACGGATTGTATCAATAGTCAAAAATATTTAGACGGTACTCGGACCTTCCGAACATTACCTACGCTTGGGAGAAATTATCTCGCTTTGAGTTTTTTAATTAACTTAAATATATTTATCCATATATTTTTCTTTATACAAATATGAAAATCTTCAAATTCACCATACGAATTGTTGCATAATTCAAAAAAATGTCAAGTTTTCTACTAATACAATCTACTCTTGCATCAATAGGGAACATTAAATAAATTAAGCTAAATAAAATCATGTTACCAACACATTATGACAAAATAACCAACTTGAAAATTATATTTGTATTGTCAAATAATTATGAGGTAGTATAAGTAATGTCAATTTCGTTCTCCAATAAATGCAAAACTAGATAAATATAGTATGTATGAAAAATATATGTAAATGAGATATATGTACTGTATGTATATCAGAGGAAGTATACGCCATTTTGTAGCGTATAGCGACACCTGCGGTGGCGTCACCGAACTACCTTGAATATCATGGAAGACTGTTGCTGGCAGTTGATAATATGTGGATCATGCAACGATCATACCTTAACAAGTTATCAAGCAGCTTCCTCAGCTGGCATTAGTTCGAGATTTCCTCCGTTGATATTTCTTTCTAGCTTGCAACTTAAATCCTTCAACGACGCATTAATCGGTTTCAATTCCAGAAATTGGATACGATCGTTCTGTATATCCGATTTCTTTTCGGCAAATAGAAGCACATAGGTATACGTTCCGAGAAAAGCGCCTACAGTCGGTCCGAACCAGTAAATCTAAAGGAAAAAAGTTGATGAGAACAGAAGGAAAAAAGCGAACGACTATCGCTACCGATGGCGTGATCTAATCAACGCACTGCGAACAAATATTTGCACTACTCTTTTCTCGAATCTATGAGGTAACATCTCCGATCCGATAACGCTAACGACAGAAATCTAAAGTGCGGAAACGTGTTTTTTATCGCCCGTCGAAGATTAAAACTTAAGATCGTGAGATTATATAAAATATTACGTTGCAAAGATTTGTGTAAATCTTGAAACGAGAGCCAATAAATCACGTTGGTTAGGAAATTAAGCTTACCCATTGATCCGTCCAGTTTCCGTTCCAAAACGCTGGCGCGAAAGTACGCGCAGGATTCATGCTACAGCCAGTGTAAGGGCTCTAAAAATGCATATTTTTTAAAAATATATAATGTTTTTACGATATTTCTTCGCACAACTTCCTTGTTTTTATTAGCAAATTTTTTACCGCTGCAAGTGAAACTCCGACGACGGAGAAACCAAATCTGATCGCTGTGGAATCTGTTGTGTGGGCGCACCTTGGGTCCCAAGTTGCGCAGGCTGCGCAAAGTATGAACGATGTACAAAGAATTTCGACCAAAACGGCTTGCGTGGTGCTGATTCTGGGATGAACGGTTGTTACACAGTGGCCCACCGACGAATTCGAGACTCCATCATTGAACAACTCGGGCGGAGTTACTGTCTGTTCCATTAAAATAACAATTAAACGAACGTTCGATGGCTATCATCGTTACACGCGAGTGACGTATGACCAATTTACCATTAAAATCAGATTTGTTTAACAATGATAATTTTTCGTCTTCTTATCATGCAACAATCTGTAGTTATGGACTACTGTAATATATGTATGGAGTATTATGTAATATGAAGTGTTATGTAATGTGTGTGCATTGTTCATATTGTGGAAAAATTATGCGAAATAGTTTGTGTGGGTATAAACATAAAAGAGTAAAATTGTTACAGAAAATGATTATTACAGGCTGTGTTAATTATTTGTTTTTTTTTTTTTGATAATACAGTAGAACTTTGTTTATCCGAATACAAGATAAATAGTTCGGATAATAGAGACTAGCTTTATATTTTATTCTTATTTGTTTGAATAATAAGAGACAGACAATTATGAGAATCAAGTATGATGCTCAACATTAACTGAACATTCCACTGTACGTATCAATTTAAATTTACAATAGTAATAAAATCAAAAATTCGTACCATTAGTAATCCATATCCAATAGTGGCACCAATGAATTGTCCTACAGCGTAGACGATACCGGTCGGGATAGATTTAATTTTAAGAACAACCGCCCCTATCGTGACAGCGGGATTTAAATGCGCACCACTCACGTGTCCTAACATCTACCGATAACAATTAGATTAGATTCTCCAATCACAGTTAAATTAAATAAATAATCATTGCAGAGTTTTATGCGTTTCTAGGAACTTAAAAAGTATACAAAATTGCACAGAATGAAAAGGCATATAAAATATCCAAAGTGATATGATGTTTGGGCGTTGAAAAATTTTCCATATAGTGATTCTGTTTCTTTAAATTTCAGACGTTTATGGAAAATTGGAAGATGTAAAAACGTATGAAACACGTCTACGTAAAATACTTAAAGTAGAATATTTATTATAGTGGATGATAATAAATATATAAGTTTCATTTCTTTAGATATGCTGTTACAAATTTTAAGATGCATAAAATCCGCAATCTATTAATTATTACGTATTAAGTACTCAAAAATTATGAATTTGCATAAAAATCCGTACGAGATCTAATAATCAATAATCTCTCGTAATTTCTTGCCTTTATACAAAGAAAGAAAGTACCATTCTTACCATAATCAGAAGGTTGACAGTCATACCGAACGCCATCGACGACTGCAATGGCGGCGGCAGTATTCGCCCCATTGTTCCTATGGAACCCATACAACCAACAAACAGAAGTATCCCAGTACCCACCACCTCGGCGAGGAACATCGTGGTCGTACCCTTTTGTATGGACCACATCGAGACTGAAAACCACCATGAAATCGTTAGATTGTCCTGTTAGGTTCGAAACTAGTCTCGATGAACTCACTTTGCGAACTTTTGCTTTGGCTGTCGTTCTCCATGGTGTCTGCGGTGAGCCTTTAACTTAAATTAACAGCTACGGCGACGGTGCCGTGGCCGTAATCAGCACTCGAATTACGCTCGACAATACTAATCGTCGGTGGCTATCGGTGGCCGCAATAATGGTTGAAAAGAAAACTAGCTCTTATCGATGAGTGTCGGACGATACGTTGCATTCTTCGTCGAATCAGTGCTCGACCGCGCAGCTCAAGAGCAGTTACAAGAAATTCCATGTTTCCTTTTATTAAAATATCACCAAGGTTAATAATATCGCTCGTGGCAGAAGCACTGACTCAGGCGTTACGTCGTACCGTATCGAAAGACACTACCCTTTTCATTTTACGGGCTATTTTCTTATCGACAGGGGAAAAACTTGCTCGAGCTGCACGAAGACAGTTATAAGAAAATCGTAGAAAGATTGGAAGAAAATTGGCGAGGTAAGGAAATGACCAAAGTTTCACGAACGAAACGTTTTCGAGAATCTTCGGACCGCGATTTATTCATGCGAGACGCTCCACGCACGTACGAACTTATAGATGTGAAATTGAAACGTGCACTTGAACTTCCGCGTGTCGTACATTTTCAATCTTCGAATCTCGATACTATTTTCATTAAAGTTTCACGAGATATTAACAGTTTATCCACGGACGATCGTTCCATCTGGTTTCTTTTTTTCACGCAAGCGCCAATGATCGTTGCCCGTTGCTGTTGTCCGCGATCGTTCGAACAGTGTCCTACGATACGCAGCGTTCGGAGAAATAAAAAGTCGTATCATCAGCCGACATGCGTGAAAATACAACGAAATATCGTAACGTACACTACAAATCGGACACCGAATACGTGTACCACGTAGCAAAAACGTTGTTGATGGTGATCGGAATCTGGCCTAAAGAGGATACGTTCTCGAATAACATTAAAATGTACATCCAAGCGGCAATCGTCTTTTTCCTCATGTGTTTCCTATTGATACCGCATGTGATTTACACGTACTTCGACTGCGAAAACTTGACCAAGTACATGAAAGTGATCGCCGCGCAGGTTTTTAGCCTTTTGGCGATCATCAAGTTTTGGACGGTGATTATCAAGAGAAAGGAAATCCGAGTTTGCTTGAACGAGATCGAAGTACAGTACAGGGACGTGGAATGCGAGGAGGATCGGCTGATAATGACGAATTGTGCAAAGATCGGCCGATTTTTCACCACGGTGTACTTGGGGCTTACTTACTCCGGTGCTCTTCCCTATCACCTTATTTTACCTCTGATATCGGAGAGAATCGTGAAAGAGGATAACACCACTCAGATACCTCTGCCTTACTTGAGCGACTACGTTTTCTTCGTGATCGAGGACTCGCCGATCTACGAGATGACGTTCGTCTTGCAAATGTTCATCAGTACCATTATACTGTCTACGAATTGTGGCATCTATAGCTTGATCCCGTCTATCACGATGCACGGCTGCAGCCTATTCCAGGTGACCAATAGAAGAATCGAGGCGCTTTGTAAATGGAATGAACAGGATTTACGTGACCGCGTTGTCGATATCGTTCAGTACCACCTGAGAGCAATTGAGTAAGAATTAGTATATTAGGTATTGTAGGTATTACAAGTAACAAATATTATTATTTATTATTATTATTATCGGAGATTATCGGTGTTGTTAAGAAGGTAAATCCTCTAACATTTATTCTCGTCGTCGATGGGAATACCATAAATATCATAAATCTAAGATTGATAAAAGTGCTTTTTGATACATTTGGCACAAAATCTTTTTTCTTATGTGTATATATGTGTATATATAAATACACACACATACACACACACGCACGCACGCACGCACGCACATGTACATATATGTCTATCGTTGCAGGAAGAGTAAAGGAATATAAGTCAGAACTGTTAGTTTTACACAAAAGAACTTATACTTAAATTGCGGATTTTAAGTGTATAATTCAAGGTCTAAAAATAACAGCATGTAATATTTAAAATTATATGAAATATTTCTGAAATTGCGAAATAATTTTGATTTATTTTTTAATTAAAATCATATGAAATATTTTGAATTTTTAATTATCATAAAGATACGGTTTTGCACGAAAACCCGCAGTCTATTTCTAAATTTAATCTAATTTAATCTAATTTAAATATAAAATACAACGTAAGATCACACTTGACTTTTGATGTGCAAGTTATCAAAACAAATATCTCATCCACAAATCATTCTTTGTAAAATGGGTGCTTATATTATTAATTGCAGCAAAAGTTGACTTACACTCTTTTGCTCGCTCATTATAAATTCATTTCTTGATTATAACAGCAGCTCTTTCTCAACATCTAAATTGTAGATACTCTGCGTTGATTGGGAAATGCCTTAGCTTCGTATTTCTATCGGAGATGGTCGGCTGTACCATTATAGTATGCTTTCTAGAATTCGGTGTGATTATGGTATTTTCTACAGGAAATAATATTTCTGTTTAAACTAAAAAGTGAGAAAGAGAGACGTAACAATGAAAAATGCTATGATTCGCAACTTTTTAGGAACTGGAAGATCAGAAAACGTTGAGCATGTTAACATATTTTATACTAGTGACATCGATCTTCGTAAATGTGTTTATAATATCGTTCATCGGCGATCGTCTCAGACAAGAGGTATACATCCAGTTTTAAGCAAACGTTCCCCAATCAAACACGTTTGAAATAAATTTGTATAATAATTTTTTCTTCTCTTTTAATCTTGTTCTATTTGTTAAAAAGAGCGAAAGAATAGCAGAAACGTCGTACTTTTTACCATGGTACGATTTTCCAGAGGACGTAGCGAAGAATGTAAAGACGATCATTCTCAGAACTTATCTACCGTCGTGTTTGTCTGGCGCTAAGATATTGAATCTCTCGCTGCAAGCATTTTGCGACGTAAGTCCTCATGTACACTGGTCCGCGAAAATATTCGAGAAACTCGATAAAAATTTGTCGATATCTATAAATTCTTGTAATTAGACTGTGACTATTTATTCGATAGTTTATTGACGTAAAATATGTAATAAGAATATGTGAATTTGCACGAACAATAGGCAAATGCATTAAAAGTATATTTTAATAAACATTAAAGTTTGATCACGCGAGCAAAAATTCGACGAAATATCAAGATTTCTTTAATTTCTGTCATTCAACTTTAATACTCAATAAAAAGAATAAACAGAAAAAATAGCACGGCAAATTTTAAGAAATCATTGCAAAGAGGAAATTTCAATCTTCAAGATTAAATCATTGTAAATTTGATAGAAAAAAAATTTCTGAATATTTTTGCAAACATTTGAATTTTCAGAATTTTTTTTAAGAAAGACACCCCCTTATTTTCATTTGCACTATAATGTTAAAGTAACATATTGCACTATGATCTTTGAGAAAAACGAACTCGATATTGTCAAAGTAGTGGCTTCGCGCTTTAAGATGAGTCCAAGTAGATAATTGCACGATCTTATTTCACAAAACTACAACAATTTCAAGAATTAAAAATCCGAATATATTTGCGGACCAGTCTACACAATATTCTAAACGTATTGGTTCCAAAGAAAACTATTATTCTAGGTCTGTAAAACTTCAGCAGCTTATTTCAATTTTCTACGAGCAATGACAACATGAGGATCCCGCAAATTTCAAAATTCCAAAGGTGTTTAACAACGTGTCCGTAAATAATCGAATTAAATATAAATCTTAACATAGTGCACACAAAAATGTTTCAAGAGGGGTAATAAATGTTTTGTTTGTTTATTTGTCAGTCGCTTCCACTGTTTTTCACCTTTTTTATTCAGCAAAAAAACGTAACTCGTTCCTTCCTACGATAATTCTTCGAAAATCACCTTGAAATTTTGAACTTCTCTCAAGATCGCGAAACCAACATTAACAAAACGGAACACCATGCGATAACGAGTCCGACGAATGATCATCATCAAAAGAGAAAATTTCTGAATAAACACTTAATTTTCCGAACCTATGTTAAGAATATACGTCCCAGCAGGGAAAGTATTTCTACAGAAAATGACACAGAGGTAGAAATATATCCCTTCTACGGCTGGAAACGCGTAGAGGTGGGGTCGGGTTCTGCAATTTGAAATGTTTAGTGCGCATACGCCGGGACGTAACTGTAAGCGCATAACATCCCTCAAAATTGTTTTCAACGACTTGTCATTCGATGTTAAATTCACGACGTTTAATAATGTATAAACTCAAGCGCGGTGAATATTTTTGCCGTTTGAGAGAGGGGTAGAGTTTCGTTACACATGCGTGACCAGTGGCTATCGAGAAGAGAAAATGACAAAAAGAAAGGGAGAAACGGACGAAAATAGAATGAATGAGGAGCTGAAGCGTGGTTTAAGATACGTGGAGCCTTTCGTTACAATAGTCGGTGCCTGGCCGCTTGGACCCGAATCGGCCACGTTTTTAAAGATATTACAACCGTTCATAGCGCCCATTTGCTTTTTCCTGGTGTCGTTCAGCATCTGGCCAGGTTTTTATTACATATTCTTCAAGGAAAGAGACGGCAAGAGGAGGCTGAAGATGATACTGCCGGTGTTCCACAGTATGTTCCAACTGGCGCAATACATCGTCGTATTGAGCAAAATGAAGAATATAAGAATGGTGTTGGACGATATAAGGAACGACTGGTTCGACACCACAGAAGAAAATCGGCAGTTCTTCCGCGAGTGCACCAAGGTCGGCAACAAAATAATGTCCATACTGGTCATCGGCGTGATGGGCGGAGGTATCGGTTTTCGAATTATACTCCCACTTTTGAAGGGTAGAATCGTTCTACCGGACAACACGACCATAAGACTGTTACCCTGTCCGATATACCTTCCGTTTATCAACGATCAAGTAACTCCATATTACGAGATAATCTTCACGCTGCAAGCGTTGAGTGGTATCTGCAACTATACTATACTCATAAGCACCAATGCGATTATTTTGATGATTTCCTTGCACATGTGCGGCTTAATAAGGATCCTAAGGAAGAAAATGACCGACTTCACCGAGAAATCGATTATCAGCGAGATGTCGATCCAAAGGAACATCGTTACCATCGTTGAACATCACACGAAAATCAAAATGTAAGTTTTGGAAAGTCGGGGAGGATAATTCGGATATATCAGAGCAATTCTGAAATCGCGCACTTTCAGATTCCTGAGTAACGGACAAACGATCACAGAGTATATTTGCTTCCTTGCGCTTGCTAACATCGTTTTTCTTATGTGTCTGCTGGGATACTGCGTGACACTGGTACCGCACGATTAGTTAGATTATAATTAGTTTCGCTACTTGCTAGAGAAGTCAAAGATTACGTTTCAGGAGTTGGAAAATTACAACGCCTCAGCATTGATGGTGTATTTCATAATGATAACAACTTGCCTGTTCTCCTCCTATGTGATATGCTCCATCGGCCAACTTCTTCTCGACGAAGTACGTAAACTGCGGATACTTATACAAATTCATGATTTCTCCCGAAGCATAAATTGAAGAGATTAAACGTTGAAACTCTAAATTAGAAATTCTGAAGAAATTCTATATACAATTGAAAGAATTAGTAAATAATTGATAATGTAAGTAAAGATGATACGGGCTCATATTCGGGACAGTTCTATAAATTTATAAATTCACCATGCTGCAAGTGTCAGTTACGATGAAAACAAATCGGCTGTGATTTCATTACGAGTTGCGTTCATAAAAACATGAATTTGTATAAGAATCGAATTCTATGCTGATATGAATTTTGATTAATAATAATAATAATAATAATAATAGTAATAATAATTCTATGAATAAGATGAATCTTGTTCTGAACATTCTTACCAGAGTGATAACTTTGCCCAAACGTGTATCACATTGGACTGGTACAGGTTCCCGCCGAAGAAGGCCCGGTACTTGATACCAATAATCATTATGTCAAATTATCCGATCAAATTGACGGCGCTCAAGGTAGTGGAGGTTTCTTTATCTACTTATACCAATGTAAGTGTCCAACGTAACCTCCAAATCCATCATCCAAAATTTTTGTACGGTCTGCAAAATTATTTTTCTAGATCGTGAAAATGACAGTGGGATATATAAATATGCTGCGGGAAGTTGTTTAATGTTTCACATTTTTCAAAGAATTAAAGAAAATTAGTATGACTGTTGCTTAAAAATCTCATATAGCAAATGTAGCAAGTATATTTAGAAATTATTTACATAGAAAGAGATTATTCGCTATAAATATTACGTTTCACATTCTACGTTTATATTTCTTCATTTTCCAATGAAATCATTCAATGCGAAAATGTATTTAGAAGTTACAAGAAGATCAACATTTACTAAATAATTAATACTAATTTAATGAATAATTTATATACGTACATGTACATTGCAATAGTAATATTAGGTAATGGTTCTATAACCAGGCCAATTAAACGTAATGTGAGGGACACATGTCTGGGCAGTAGTATTAGGTTCATAAAGTATTTGTAAAAATTACTTTATGGTACTGACTATCGCTCAATGACACATTTCGGCCTAAAATGACCTACCATCCTTACTCACGTGATTGAGAAGGGCACAAGGAGAATCGGCCTTATATAAGGCCGACGCTGCATAAAGTCTCACTACTCGCTACTAGTCTACTTTTCGCGCAAGCGCTCTGACATCACTTTCTTGCGTCCGTCATTAGTATTTTCTTCGCATATTCCCAAATATACAATAATTATATAATTATATAAATATTCCCAAATATACAATTATATAATTATGTAAATATTCCCAAATATACAACAATTATATGTATAATTATATAAATATTCCCAAATATACAATAATTATATAATTATGTAAATATTCCCAAATATACAATAATTATATAATTATATAATATTCCCAAATATACAACAATTATATGTATAATTATATAAATATTTATATATATATAATTATATTTATATATATAAGAAATATTTATAATTATATATTTTTATATATATAATTATATAAATATTGATATTACCAACAGAGGATTGAAACAATACCATTGAGTTTTGGTAGCAATTGATATCTTGTAACTTCTACGTCTATTTTCATAAAGACATTTGATATATTATACATAATACATTTAGAAAAATTACTCTCATACAACACTGCAAAATGGTGAACTGACTGATAACGTAATCCGTTCTCCGTTCACGAAGCTGAGCATCATGTTTCGTTCTGATTCAATTATTCCGTTTATTCCGCAGCAACGGACAATTTCAAAACAATAATTTTCATAGAACTTCATTAATTTATTCGCGAACACGTGCGCAACTCATTTTCTTCGAGCACGGAACCCTTCTGCATTTACTTACAGTTGCGATAATTGCTAACTCTGTCATCCACCGCAAATTCTATAACCGATGAAAAAAACTTCTCTAGAGAATTACAGTAAGTACATCGTACTAACAGAGTATCGAAATATTCAGTCATGATAAATAAATTTATGACGATAAAATTTTTTCAACAGATTACTCGTCATGTCCGATCGAAGTTTCTATAACTATCACGACGTTTTCTTTTTAGCAAATAAAGTGATCATTATAAATAGAACTTTTTCTCTTATAACCATAATTTTTTTCAGAGCCACATTCAATTTGCCAAAGTGGACCAATTTGTATCGAAAAAAGCGTGGTCTAATAAGAATCAAAAATAAAATATACATTCACACTGATGTAAGTATTTATTGCTCGCACTCTTCGTACAATGAACTAAAAAAAAATATTTTTATTTTGTCTTCTTTCATCTGATCTTGCATGTATGTATGTATGTACATGTGGTGCACACTGCTTTAACAAATTATTAAATTATATACACACTGCAACTATATGTATATCTGTATTGAACAATACTGACTCTAATTAATCTCAGTACATTGTAATCACTTTATGAAATATATATGAAACTGTAAATATATATGAAACAATAACAAAACTGCACATTGAAATACAACCGCACATAGAAGACGCAATTATTCGTAATAAAAGCAATTCATTAAATAGAAGCCACATGGGTTGTATCAATAGTCAAAAATACTTAAAAGATACTATGACCCTCCGAACATTATTTACGTTATTTATTGGGAGAAATTATCTCGCTTTGAGTATTTTTAATTAACTTAAATATATTTATACACTATATATACACTATATTTATACACTAATATTTTTCTCTATATTAATATGAAAATCTTCAAATTCACCATACGAATTATTGCATAGTTTAAACAAATGTCAAGTTTTCTGCTAATACAATCTACTCTTGCATCAAAAGGGAACATTAAATAATTTGCGTTAAATAAAATCATGTTACTTATACATTATGACTAAACCAACTTGAAAATTATATTTATACCGTCAGATAACAATCTGGTAGTATAAGTAATGTCAATTTCGTTCTCCAATAAATGCAAAACTAGATAAATATAGTATGTACGAAGAATATGTGCAAATGCAATATATGTATCGTATATATATCAGAGGAAGTACACGCCATTTTGTAGCGTACAGCGTCACCTAACGGTGGCGTCGTCAAACTATCTTGAACATCATGGAAGACTGTTGCAGGCAGTTAATAACATGTGGATCATGCAACGATCATACCTTAATAAGTTATCAAGTAGTTTTCTCTGCTGCCATTAGTTCCATCGTTGATATTTCTTTCTACCTTGCAATTTAAATCCTTCAAGGACGCATTAGTCGGTCTCAACTCCAAAAATTGAAGACGATCATTCTGTCTATCCGGTTTCTCTTCTGGATAAATAGCAGCACGTAGGTATACGTTCCTAGAAAAGCGCCTACAGTCGGTAGTACAGTCGGTCCGAACCAGTGTATCTAAGAAAGAAATTGGTCAGAATACAAGGAAAAATGCGAACAATGCTACTGATGGCGTGATCTAATCAACGCACTGTGAACAAACTCTTTTCTCCACTTTATGGGGTCGCATCTCCGATTCGATAACACTAACGACAGAAATCTAAAGTGCGGAAACATGTTTTTTATCGCCCATCGAAGATTAAAGCGTAAGATGGTGAGATTATATAAAATATTACGTTGCAAAGATTTGTGTAAATCTTGGAACGAGAGCCAATAGATCGCGTTGGTTAGGAAATTAAGCTTACCCTTTGATCCGTCCAGTTTCCGTTCCAAGACGCTGGCGCGAAAGTACGCGCAGGATTCATGCTACAGCCAGTGTAAGGGCTCTAAAAATGCATATTTTTTAAAAATATATAATGTTTTTACGATATTTCTTCGAACAACTTCCTTGTTTTTATTAACAAATTTTTTACCGCTGCAGGTGAAACTCCGACGACGGAGAAACCAAATCTGATCGCTGTGGAATCTGTTGTGTGGGCGCACCTTGGGTCCCAAGTTGCGCAGGCTGCGCAAAGTATGAACGACGTACAAAGAATTTCGACCAAAATGGCTTGCGTGGTGCTGATTCCGGGATGAACGGTTGTTACACAGTGGCCCACTGACGAATTCGAGAATCCATCATTGAACAACTCGGGCGGAGTTACTGTCTGTTCCATTAAAATGACGATTAAACGAACGTTCGATGGCTACCATCGTGACACGTAAGTGACGTATAACCAATTTACCATTAAAATCAGATTTGTTTAACAATGATAATTTTTCATCTTCTTATCATGCAACAATCTGTAGTTATGGACTACTGTAATATATGTATGGAGTATTATGTAATATGAAGTGTTATGTAATGTGTGTGCATTGTTCATATTGTGGAAAAATTATGCGAAATATTTTATGTGGGTATAAACATAAAAGAGTAAAATTGTTACAGAAAATGATTATTGCAGGCTATGTCAATTATTTTTTTTTTTTTTTTGGATAATACAGTAGAACTTCGTTTATCCGAATATAAGATAAATAGTTCGGATAATAGAGACTAGCTTTATATTTTACTCTTATTTGTTCGAATAATAAGAGACAGACAGTTATGAGAATCAAGTATGATGCACAATATTAACTGAACATTCCACTGTACATACCAATTTAAATTTGTACAATAGGAACAAAATCAAAAATTCGTACCATTAACAACCCACATCCAATATCCAATAGTAGACCAACGAATTGTCCTATGGCGTAGACGATACCGGTCGTAATAGTTATAATTTTAAGAATAACAGCTCCTGTCGTGACAGCAGGATTTGTGAACTACCACGAAATCGTTAGATTCCTCTAGGTTAGGTTGAACTCACTTGAAGAACTTTTGCTTTGGCTGTCGTTCTCCATGGTGTTCACAGTGAGCCTTAGCAGCACCACAACGATGACGTGATCGCAATCAGCACTCGAATTACGCTCGGCAATACTAATCGTCGGTGACTACAGGTTTGTGTAACTATTGAAAACGAAAATTTAGCTCTTATCGATGAGTGTCGGACGATACGTAGCATTCTTCGTCGAATCAGTGCTCGACTGCGCAGCTCATGATCAGTTACAAGAAATTCCATGTTTCCTTTTATTAAAATATCGCCAAGGTTAACAATGTCGCTCGTGGCAGAAACACTGACTCAGGCGTTACGTCGTACCGTATCGAAGGACACTACCATTTCTTTATTACGGGCGATTTTCTTATCGACAAGGGAAAACACGAGTAGAAAAATTGCTCGAGCTGCACGAAGGCAGTTATAAGAAAATCGTAGAAAGATTGGAAAAAAATTGGCGAAGCAAGGAAATTGACCGAAGTTCTACGAGCGAAAGTTTTCGAGTATCTTCAGATCACGATTTATTCATGCGAGACGCTTCACGCACATACGAATTGATAGATGTGAAATTGAAAGGTGCACTTATACTTCCGGGTCATGTTACTTCAATCTTCGAATCTCGAAACTATTTTCATTAAAGTTTCACGAGATAGTAACAGTTTACCTACGGACGATCGTTCCATCTGGTTTTTCACGCAAGCGCCAATGATCGTTGCCCTTGGCTGTTGTCTGCAACCGTTCGAACAGTGTTCGAACAGTGTCCTACGAAACTCACCGTTCGGAGAAATAAAAAGTCGTATTATCAGCCGATATGCTCGAAAATATTGCGAATTATCGTAACGTCCACTACAAATCGGACACCGAATACGTGTACCACGTAGCAAAAACGTTGTTGACGGTGATCGGAATCTGGCCTAAAGAGGATACGTTCCCGAATAACATTAAAATGTACGTCCAAACGGCGGTCGTCTTTTTCCTCATGTGTTTCCTATTGATACCGCATGTGATTTACACGTACTTCGACTGCGAAAACCTGACCAAGTACATGAAAGTGATCGCCGCGCAGGTTTTTAGCCTTTTGGCGATCATCAAGTTTTGGACGGTGATTACCAACAGAAAGGAAATCCGATTTTGCTTGAACGAGATCGAAGTACAGTACAGGGACGTGGAATGCGAGGAGGATCGGCTGGTAATGACGAATTGTGCAAAGATCGGCCGATTTTTCACCACGGTGTACTTGGGGCTTAGTTACACCGGTGCTCTCCCCTATCACATTATTTTACCTCTGATATCGGAGAGAATCGTGAAAGAGGATAACACCACTCAGATACCTCTGCCTTACTTGAGCGACTACGTTTTCTTCGTGATCGAGGACTCGCCGATCTACGAGATGACGTTCGTCTTGCAAATATTCATCAGTAGCCTCATACTGTCTACGAATTGTGGCATTTATAGCTTGATCGCCTCCATCACGATGCACAGCTGCAGCCTGTTCGAGGTGACCAATAGAAGAATCGAGGCGCTTTGTAAATGGAGTGAACAGGATTTACGTGACCGCGTTGTCGATGTCGTTCAGTACCACCTGAGAGCAATTGAGTAAGAATTAGTACATTAGGTATTATAGGTATTGCAAATATTACTATTTATTATTGTTATTATTGGAAATTATCGGTATTATTAAGAATGCAAGTCCTCTAACATTTGTTCTTATCGTTGATGGAAATATCACCATAAACCTAAGATTGATAAAAGTGCTTTTTAATACATTTACCACACAATCTTTTTATTTGTGTATAAATCAGAATTGTTAGTTATGTAAAAAGGAATATAATTATAATTGAATTGTGCATTTTACGTTTAAAATTCAAAGGTACGAAAATATGGGCATATAATATTTAAAGTTATATAAAATATTTCTTAAATTGCGAAATAATTCTTATTTATTTCTTAATTAAAATTATATGAAATATTTTCAGTTTTTAATTATCATAAAAATACAGATTTGCACGAATATTCGCAGTCTATTTATAATATTTAGATATAAAATACAACGTAAGATCAGGTTTGAGTTTTGATGTAAAAGTTGTCAAAACAAATGTCTCATCCACACATCATTTTTTGTAAAATGGGTGCTTATATTATTATTTTTTAAAACTTTAACAACTTATACTATTTTGCTCGTTCATCATAAATATATTACTAGATTTTAATAGCAGCTCATTCTCAATATCTAAATTGCAGATACTCTGCGTTGATTGGGAAATGCCTTAGCATTGTATTTCTATCGGAGATGGTCGGCTGTACCATTATAATATGCTTTCTAGAATTCGGTGTGATTATGGTATTCTACAGGAAATAATATTTCTGAATAAATTAGAAAGAAAGAGTGAGACATAATAATAAAAAATGCTATGATTCGCTACTTTTTAGGAACTGGAAGATCAGAAAACGTTGAGCATGATAACATATTTTGTACTAATGACATCGATCTTCGTAAACGTGTTTATAATATCGTTCATCGGCGATCGTCTCAGACAAGAGGTATACATCCAGTTTTAAGCAAACGTTCCCCAATCAAACACGTTTGAAATAAATTTGTATAATAATTTTTTCTTCTCTTTTAATCTTGTTCTATTTGTTAAAAAGAGCGAAAGAATAGCAGAAACGTCGTACTTTTTACCATGGTACGATTTTCCAGTGGACGTGGCGAAGGATATACAGACGATCATTCTCAGAACTTATCTACCGTCGAGTTTGTCTGGCGCCAAGATATTGAATCTCTCGCTGCAAGCATTTTGCGACGTAAGTACTCATATACACTGGTCCGCGAAAATATTCAGAAACTCGATAAAAATTTGTCGATATTTAAAATTCTTGTAATGGGAATGTTTATGCGCGTAAAATATGTAAAAAGCATATGTGAATTTGCACGAACAATAGGCAAATGTGTATGAAAAGTGTGTATTAATAAACTATTTTGATCACGCGACGAAAATTCGATGAAATTTCTGTCATTCAAATTTAATATTCAAAGTTCAATAAAATAGTACGAAGAAAAAAAGAGGAAAAATGGCACAGCAAATTTTAAGAAATCATTGTAAAGCGGAAATATCATTCTTCAAGATTGAACCATTGTGGACTTCATCACTAAAATATTTTTTAATGCTTTTACAGACACTTGAATTTTCAGAAGTCATCCTTTAAGAAGAATACTCCTTCTTTTTCGGTTGCACTATAATATTGAAGTATCTTTGAAAAAAATGAACCCGATATTGTCGAAGTAGAGGGTTCACGCTTTAAGATGAGCCAAGTAGATTGTTGCACGATCTCGTTTCACAAAGTTATAACAATTTCAATGATTAAAAATCCGAATACATTAGCGGACCAGTCTACACGATATTTAAACGTATAGGTTCCAAGAAAAACTATTCTTGTAGGTCTGCAAAACTTCGGCAGCTTATTTCAATTTTCTGCGAGCAATGACAGCATGAAGATTCACGCAAACTTCGAAATTCAGAAGATGTCTAACAACGTGTCCGTAAATAATTTAATTGAATATAAATCTTAACATACTGCACATAAAAATGTTTCAAGACAGGTAATAAACGTTCTTTCTTTGTTATTTCTCAATCTCTTCCACTTTTCACCATTTCTTTTATTCAACAAAACGTAACTTCCTTCTCACGATAATCCTTCGAAATCACCATGAAATTTCGAACATTTCTTCAGATCGCCGAACCAACATTAATAAAACGAAACACCGTGCGATAACAGTCCAACGAATTATCATCATCAAAAGAGAAAAGTTCTGAATAAACACTTAATTTTTCGAATCTATGTTACGAACCTATGCTACGTCCAAGCAGGGAAAGTATTTCTACAGAAAATGACACACAGGTAGAAATATATCCCTTCTACGGCTGGAAACGCGTATAAGGGGCCGGGTATAATTTAAAGTGTTTACTGCGCATACGCCGGGACGTAACTATAAGTACAAAACATCCCTCAAAATTGTTTGAACGACTGTCATTCGATGTTAAATTCACGACGTTTAAAAATGTATAAACCCAAGCGCAGTGAGTATTTTTGCCGTTTGAGAGAGGGGTAGGGTTTCGTTACACGTGCGTGACCAGTGACCATCGAGAAGAGGAAATGGCAGAAAGAAAGGGAGAAACGGACGAAAAGAGAATGAAAGAGGAGCTGAAGCGTGGTTTAAGATACGTGGAGCCTTTCGTTACAGCACTCGGTGCCTGGCCACTTGGACCCGAATCGGCCACGTTTTTAAAGATATTACAACCGTTCATAACACCTGTATGCTTTTGCCTGATATCGTTCACCACCTGGCCAGGTTTTTATTACGTATTCTTCAAGGAACGAAACAGCAAGAAGAGGCTGAAGCTGATACTGCCGGTGCTCCACAGTATTTTCCAACTGGCGCAGTACATCGTCGTATTGAGCAAAATGAAGAATATAAGAGTGGCGTTGGACGATATAAGGAACGACTGGTTAGACACCACAGAAGAAAATCGGCAGTTCTTCCGCGAGTGCGCCAAGGTCGGCAACAAAATAATATCCATACTGGTCATCGGCGTGTGGGGTGGAGGTGTCGCTTTTCGAATTATGCTCCCACTTTTGAAGGGTAGAATCGTTCTACCGGACAACACGACCGTGAGACTGTTACCCTGTCCAATATACCTTCCGTTTGTCAACGAACAAGTAACTCCATACTACGAGATAATCTTCACACTGCAAACGTTGGGTGGTATCTGCAACTATATTGTAGTCACAAGTAGCACTGGGATTATTATGATGATTTCCTTGCACATGTGCGGCTTAATAAGGATCCTAAGGAAGAAAATGATCGACCTTACCGAGAAATCGGACGTCAACGAGGTGACGATCCAGAGGAACATCGTTACCATCGTTGAATATCACACGAAAATCAGAACGTAAGTTTTGGAAAGTCGAGGAGGATAATTCGGATTATCAAAGCAATTCTGAAATCGCGCTCTTTCAGATTCTTCTTTAACGGACAAACGATTACAGAGTATATTTGCTTCATTTCGATCGCTAACAGCGTCCTTCTTATGTGTCTGCTGGGATATGGCATAATACTGGTACCGCACGATTAATTTAGTTTCCCTTCTTGTTAGATAAGTTAAAGATTATGTTTCAGGAGTGGCAAAATTTCAATGCCTCTGCTGTGGTGGTGTATCTCATACTGATTTCAACGTTCCTGTTCTCCTCCTTTATAATATGCTCCATTGGCCAAATTCTTCTCGACGAAGTACGTGAAACTGCGGATACTTATACAAATTCATAATTTCTCCCGAAGCATAAGTTGAAGTAATTAAACGTAGAAACTCTAAATTAGAAATTCTGAAGAAATTCTATATACAATTGAAAGAATTAGTAAATAATTGATAATGTAAGCAAAGATGATACGGACTCATATTTTGGACATTTCTGTAAATTGATAAATTTTCCAAGCTGCAAGTATCAGTCACGATAAAAACAAGTTGACTGTGATTTTATAAACGAGTTGCGTTTATAAAAACATGAATTTGTATAAGAATCGAATTCTATGTTGGTATGAATTTCGATTAATAATAATAATAATAATAATTGTAATAATAATTCTATGAATAATACGAATCTTATTCTGAATTCTTACCAGAGCGATAACTTTGCCCAAACATGTGTCACGTTGGACTGGTACAATTTTCCGCCGAAGAAGGCCCGCTACTTGATATTAATAATCATTATGTCAAATTATCCGATCAAATTGACGGCGATGAAAGTTGTCGACATTTCGTTATCTACTTATACCAATGTAAGTGTCCAACGTAACCTCCAAATCCGTCATCCAAAATTTTTGTACGGTCTGCAAAATTATTTTTCTAGATCGTGAAAATGACAGTGGGATATATAAATATGCTGCGGGAAGTTGTTTAATGTTTCACATTTTTCAAAGAATTAAAGAAAATTAGTGTGACTGTTACTTAAAAATCTCGTATAGCAAATGTAGCAAGTATATTTAGAAATTATTTACATAGAAAGAGATTATTCGCTATAAATATTACGTTTCATGTGCTACGTTTATATTTCTTCATTTTCCAATGAAGTCGTTCAATCCGAAAATATATTTTGAAGAATATATTACAAGAAGATCAACATTAACTGAATAATTAATATTTATTTAATGAATAATTTATATACGTACATGTTTATTGCAATAATAATATTGGACAGTGTGGTGTAAAATGTGGTTCTGCAGCCAGGCCTAATAAAACGTATAAACGTAATGTGAGAGCCGCATCTCTGGGCAGTACCGTTAGGCCCATAAAGTACTTGCAAAAATTACTTTATGGGATTGACTATCGCTCAACGACACATTTCGGCCTGAAATGACCTACCATCTTTACTCACGTGATTGAGAAGGGCACAAGGAGAATCGGCCTTATATAAGGCCGACGCTGCATAGAGTCTCACTACTCGCTAGTAGTCTACTTTTCGCGCAAGCGCTCCGACACTTTCTCGCGTCCGTCACTAGTATTCTTTTCGTATATTCCCCAAAATACAATATTTATGTATGTATATATATATAACAATATAATTATTATTATTATTTAATATAATAAAATATTATAATAATTATATTATTATATTAAATTATAATAATATAAATTATAAATTATAATATAAGTTATATTATTATAATTTATAAATTATATAATTACAAATTATAATAATATAATAATTATTTATATAATTATAAATTATAATAATATAAAAATAATATATAAATTATTTATATAATTATAAATTATAATAATATAATAATTATTTATATAATTATAAATTATAATAATTATAAATGAATATTTATATATATATAATTATGTAAATATTTATATATGTATATAATTATATAATTGATATTACCAATAGATGCTTATAGCAACACCATTGAAATTTGATTGCAATAAATGTCTTATAACTTCTATATATATATTTTGACAAAAATATTTGATACATTATACATAATACAATCCCAATAATTTTCCATGGTCAGTATAGAAACATTCTCATGCTATACTGCAAAGTGGTAGACTGTCTAATATCGTACTCCGTTCTCCGTTCACGAATCTGAGCTTCATGTTTCGTTCTGATAAAATGATCCCATTTATTCCACAGTTACGGACAATTTCGAAACAATAATTTTCATAGTACTCCAATAATTTAATCGGGAACAAGCGCGCAACTCATTTTCTTCGTGTAAGGAACCTTTCTGCATTTACTTGCAACTGCGATAATTTCTATCTCTGTCATCTATCGCGAATTTTATAACCGATGAAAAAATTTTTTCTAGAAAATTACAGTGATTACATCGTACTGATAGAGTACCGAAATGTTTAATTTTGCCACAGGCGTCGAGCATGATAAATAAATTTATGACGATAAAAATTTTTCAACAGATTACTCGTCACGTCCGATCGAAGTTTCTACAACTATCACGACGTTTTTCAAGCAAATAAAGTGATTACTATAAATAGATATAATTTTTTTTTCAGAGCCACAATTAATTTGCCAAAGTGGACCGGTTCGTTTCGAAAGAATCGTGGTCCAATAAGAATCAAAAATAAAATATACATTCATACTGATGTAAGTATTTATTGCTAATTTCTTTCATTCTTCGTACAATGGAGAAAAAAATATTTTTATTTCGTCTTTTCTCATCCGATTTTGCATGTATGTATGTGACGTACTCTGCTGCGATAAATTATTGGTTAAATTCACAGTGCACGTGTGTATATTTTTCAATTTCAGCGCGTTGTATTTTCGTTCCGAAATGTATGAGTCTTCTTACTAATGAATATAGAATCGAAACAGCGTGTTGAATCTGCGTGACACTCCGAAACTATAATTATTCGCATTTTCGTGGACATGAAAATGAAGACAGATTTTTCTGAAAATTTATCGAACCAGCTGTAACAAAATAAACTGTAATCAACCGATAGCAATTCGATGATTTGTAAATTATCTCAATAGCAAAGCTCTGCAGAAACACTTGGTGTTTCGAACTTTTCGAACGAATTTATGCCTCAGCAGGAAAACTATAGTATTTCTAGAGAAAATGACATAACGGTGCAAGTATATCTCTTCTGTGAACACGTTCGAAATATATTTAGATATTACAGGAGATTCATTGTATATTTAATGAATAATTAATATACAGTATGAATAATAGTGATGCAAATTATTGTGGTTTACTAATATCATCTGCTGACAACTTTTATCTTGTCTATCTACATCTACCTCTCCATAAAAATATTTTACAGAATATTACAGCATATAATAGTAGTAAGCCATAAATTGAGTATTTTCCATGGCCAATGCTCAAATACTGCCATGAAACATTTGAATGAAGCAATAATCGAGAAATGATTACTTACTGATGTCGTATTCCGTTCTCCATGGTTTCAGTTTGCCATCGAACTATGCTACAGTAATAGAATATAATAAACTATAATTTCAATAATTTAATCACGAGTATGCCCGCGAGTAACGCAACCCTTCTGCAACTACGATAATCGCTGTTCCCATCGTCCGTCGCAAATTTGATAGCCGATGGAAAAAAACTTCTGTAGAAAATTGCAGCAAATATAGAATCTTGAAATATTCCATGCTACCACACTTTTTCACAATTTGTCGACATATTACTCGTCATGAATGATCGAATTTTCTAAAACTATCCCGGCGAAAAATTGTTTCTCAGAGAATTGAATAAAGTAATTAAAGTTGTTAAAAAGAGAATTTTCTCTCTTACGACCATAATTTTTCGTTAACCGAGCAACATTCAATGTGCCAAATCATTAAGAATCAAAAGTAAAATTCATAGAGGTATATTTATCTACATTCACATTGGTGTAGGTACTTATTATTAATATCACTCAAGTTTTCGTGCAATTGGCAAAAAGATATTTTTATCCGATCTTGCATGTATGTATGTATGTGGTGCACTCTGCTTCAAGAAATTATTTAATTACGTACACACATATGTATATCTGTATTGAACAATACTGACTCTAATTTTAGTACATTATAACCACTTTATGAAATAGATGAGGTTTTACTGTAAATAACAAAACAGCACATTGAAATTATCCGTACTTAGATGTCGCAATACTTCGCAGCCCTTTTCGTAACAAAAGCAATTTATTAAGGATCTGAATGGACGAGTTCCTTCACTGCTCAAAAAAATAACGCCGAAATTCTCAAGCATCGAAGAGGAAGATGATAAGAAAAGAATAAAATCCAGAGAAATCAAGACAACTACGAAACCCTGCAGTTTTTACGAAACGTTACGCAAATTGCAGAGATTGTATTTAAATACAGGCTTAAGGTTTATGACAAAAAATTTCTGAAAACATATTATGCGTGTACGTACGAAAATTCTCAATTTTTTCGTTAGACACTAGAACTGCCGATGATTAAAATATAAAATTCCCATCAGAGACATCAAAGTCAAGAAAATAGAGAAACTATGTATAATAATACAACGTATATGAGCTTTCATTTATATGTTTCACGTTATTCAAAATTATTTAAATCCTTAAAAATACAGTGTTGTTACGTCTATAAAATACCTGACAGAAATTATAAATTCGTCATTTTGACCACTTTGGTAGTTCGAGTGTTAAGAGGCACATCAATCCGGGTTCTCGAACACCAAGAATTGATTCTCATAAAATCAACGTAGCAACAATAATTGCTTTTCGCATTCACCGCAATTCGCGACTGATAAAAATCTTCACTTTGAGGAATTTGTAGGATATCGTAGTCGTACCTTCACGAAACACTGCGATGGAACACACACGTGAAAAATACTGAACGTCAAAACTGATACTGAGCTCTGTTTTTCAGCGATGTTTCACCGCGACGAGAAATAATTTCCTTTATTTGAAGCCCATGGTCTCGCGTACGGAACCCCCTTCTACATTTACGGAGCCCCTTTACATTTACCAAACTTCTCACATTTACTTCTACATTTACACTGCAGCAATGCCCATTCCCATTATCTATTGAAAGCGTTGCGATCGGCGGAGGGAAACTTCCGTTGGAAAATTACAGTGAATAATAAGCAATTTTATTGTAAACGTCGAACATTCGTTAGAAATTCTTCAAAATATTTCAACGATGTTCAGAACGATATTTCTAATATTGTCACGATCAAAAATAATCCGCGCAGCAACTGAATAAGTAAAGCGCGCGAAGAGGAAAGACCTGGTATTATGAAACTTCGCGGACAACGAGGAGGAGAACGATTCGGTGTAGACGCTGTAGGAGCAATTTCACCTAATCTTCCAATTTTTTTTTTTTTTTTTTTTCTAAAGAATCGAAACGCAATTCCGCCAACCCCTTCCGTGCACAAGCAATCGACAACAGCAATCTAACACTAAATTCGCGGATGTTAAAAATTTTATACACGCAAGCGCGACGAGTTTCACGGAATCGATGACCTTTTCTCTCCTCCCCCGTCGGCGCAATGTGGCCAGTTAGATTTCATCGTCCGTTCAATCTGCAATCTCGAGAAAAGATGACCCGAGCACGAAACGTGGAGGAAGGCATAAAGCACGTTACGTGGTTCGTGCGGCCACTGCTAAGCGTAATCGGAGCCTGGCCAATGAACGTCGCGTCTTCTCTACATTCGAAGATACTAAAATGGCTTCTGATCTTTTTCATTTACTTTCTGCAACTCGGTGTCATGGTACCAAGCATTCTGTACATCGTGCTGAAAGTGAAGAACAACAGAAGTCGAATAAAGTTGATAATGCCACATGTCAACTCCGTGTGCCAATTGACAAAGTATACTGTCCTCTTACGGCGGCATAACCAGATCCGTCAGTTGTTGAACGACTTGAGACACGAGTGGCTAAATGCCACGAAAGAGGACCAATGGATTTATACAACGAGAGCCAGTATTGGACACAGGCTGATGATGCCATTCGTAATCCTTCTGTACACCGGCGGCACGAGTTTACGAGCGATCATTCCGCTTTTGAGGGGCAAGATCGTTCTGCCGAATAACACGACCATGAGACTCCTACCGTGTCCAGGTTACTTCGTCTTCTTCGACGAACAGCTCACGCCCAATTACGAAATTACTTTTGCCATGCAAGTTCTCTGCGGGTTCGTTAATTACACAACATTGTGCGGAACGCTCGCGCTTTGTTCGATGCTTTGTCTACACATGTGTAGCATGATGAGAATCTTGGCGAACAAGATGATCGAGCTTTCGAATCAGTCGGATACAGATGAAAACGCTGTGCAGGAGAAGATCACGGACATTGTTGAGTATCACACTAAAATCAAAAGGTATTCGCATTATTTCACGACTCGTTGACAGAGCGGTTAATTTTCTATGAAATATTGGATACATACTTAACATACGTAATACAATCGGAAATTCATTCGTGCGAGTGAAATTCATTCCTCAGTGAAACTTTTTTCATATAACGTCCCCTACTGGAATTGCAATACTTTTGCCAATTCAGCGATTACTTCGACGGTTCGTTTCTAATTCAAAAATGAGTGAAAGATGGAAGAAACTTAAATAATCAATTTTAACATTAACAAGTGATCTTGTACAATCATTTGCTCGAAGCAATACCAATTTTGATCGAGACCTCGTTACAGATTTCTTCATCGAGCTGAACACGTCACCTCGAGTATGTATTTCGTCGAGATCAGCAACGAGGTGGTAATCTCGTGTGTACTTGGATACTGTATTATTATGGTAGGGACATATGGTCGAAGCGTTGAAGACATATAACGACATAGTGATTATTTCTATAATTTGGCCATTTTTTTTTTTTTTTTTAGGAGTGGGAAAGTAACAGCGTGACAGGGATAATAACATACTTTACGTTGCAAGCGACAACAACAGTTGGCACGTTCACGAACTGTTACATTGGTCAACTTCTCATCGACGAGGTATATGCCATCGACTCTAATTAAATGAAATTTTTCTCTAGTGTAAAATTATTGTTGGTGTACACTGCATACTTATCCTTTAACAGAGCGACATTGTTAAAAAGGCATCCCATACGTTCAATTGGTACCGGTTCCCTTTGAAAAAGGCACGCAGTTTGGTCATGATTATCATTACGTCGAATTACCCAATGAAAGTCACGGCAGCAAAAATTGTGGAAATGTCATTAGCTACATTCACCGACGTAAGTATTACTAACTCCGTCATCCACAGTAATCTTCGTACGATTAACGAAAAGAACATTTTATATTTCACTTGAGTAAGTTATTAATAGAATACGCGTACGTAATATATAATTTTGGCTCGTTATACCATCTCTAGATAGTATCTAATCACACAAATAATCGAAATTTGTGAATTTCCATTAATAAGAATATGTACATATGTTAATTATATAGTTATTAATGTATATTAATGTAAATATAAATTTAACAATAAAGCACGAACTTTGTTCTAAAATAAAATTTTATTTAAGTAGAATTAAACATTTTCACGCAACATACGAAGATTACTGTGGACATCTGTCGATCTATTTTTTTCTATTTTTTTGAACACGTTCCGTTTTTTTTTTTCTTTCTAGATCGTGAAAACAACAATGGCATATTTTAATGTGCTACGAAACACCATTTAAATGTTTATTACGAAGGTTTACGTACCTTATAATACAGTATACACGGTTAACCAAGAATAATCAGACAAAATAATCTTCTCGAACGTAGCACTTTCACACATTTAACATCGTCCGACATTATCATATACAAACAACTTCATTTTCCCCTACTTTTATCACGAATTGGTTACATTTCACTGCCACGATATAATCACTCATATCCACTGTAAACTTCACAAAAAATTTCTTTAGAAAATTATATAACATCGTAACCATATTCTCATAAAATGTCAACATGTTTCATTTCGTCATAAACACACTTTTTTAAAAGTAACTAAACTTATTATTCAATATGCACGATCGAATCCTCCAAAGTCATCCCGCACAAAAACTTCTCTGCAACAGAAATCGCGAATTTTAAGAGGAAAAGAAGATGTTACAGCGAAGTGTAGTATGGAGAAATTTATTAGAAAAAATTTTCATTTACGAAGACTTCTTTGAGGAAGAATTCGTAACATTTGTATTTTTTAATTATTATATATGGTACGAAATACATACCTGTATTTCTTAGATCGTGTGACGTTCTTGAGTGCACAGCGAAAATTGATATAAACTCTGATATTTTTTTACGGTAACATACAGTTGCAAGAAGCTTAGATCAATCTTGAAATCTAAAATAAAAAGATAATATTGAGATTAGAACTACAGTATTTTTTTTTTAGTTTTTTCTTTTTTTTTTTTTGTATTTCAGTAATTGAACAGTAAATGTTGTATCACTCAAATAAGGAACCCTTTCATATAAAGTTAGTAATAATCGTCTATCGTTTCTAATGCTTTGCAATTGATAAAACAAACAGTTCTTTAAAAATTTGGAGAATATCGAAACTCAACTATAACAAAATCTAACGATATCTCAATTTCACGCAGAAAAAATAGTTAACGTCAAAACAGACACTGCACTCTTTTTTCTGACTCACACAATGCTCTTGTAGTATTTCTATCGATTGTTATAGTATTTCATACTACGAGAAACAATTCTCTTAATTTTATAATAACAGACGATTTCATACCAGTAATCCTGCGTACGGAATTTTTCCATTTTCACGTACTATTACGGTAATCGATCTAATAAAAACTATATAACTCATGAAAAAAGAACTTTAATAAATATTAGAATAAGAAATTTTGTTAGAAATACCGAACACATAAAATATGACAGAAATTTTCCGAAAATTCAAATTCTCTTTTATCACGTCTGAAAAAATTTTCCGAAATCATATTGGCACAAAATTTTCTTCCAAGCGATTGAGACAAATTAATCGAAGAAAAAAAAAAAAGAAAATGAAGGAGAGTTGAAATAATGAAACATTTAGGCCGAAAGGGGAAACGATACGCGTAACCTTGCGAGTACGTACCTTCAAGCAATTTTCCATAACTATTCCATAAACAATCAAAATGCAATTCAGAACTCGTTGATAACAAGTAATTTAACAAATTCGCCGATGGTTGAAATTTTATGCCCGCAAGCGCGACGAGTTTTCTGGACTCGGAGACCTGTAACAAAAGGAACAGTCAGGTGTCACCATCCGTCCAAGCAACCACTCAAAAAATGACGCAAGTACAAAATGTAGAAGAAGGTGTAAAATATATTACACGGTTGTTGCATCTACTATTGCACGCAATCGGTGCCTGGCCAACGAACGTTACATCATCTGTGGCTTCGAAGATAAGAAAATATATTCAAATCATTTTTGTTTACTCAATACAACTCCCCGTCATGATACCGAGTATACTGTTCATAATTTTGAAAGTGAAAAAAACACCGGGACCCGAATCAAGTTGTTTGTACCGCACTATAACTCCTTGTACAAGTATACTATCGTCTTACGGCGACAAAACGAGATTCGTGAATTGATGGACAAATTGAGAAACGAATGGATAAATGGCACGAAAGAGGATCAATGGATTTACAAAACCAGAGCCGCTATCGGGCACAGATTGCTGGAGTTTACGAGCGGTCACTCCATTTTTGAGACCAAAAGTCATTCTACCGGATAATACTAAATTAAGACAACTACCGTGTCCGGATTACTTTTTCTTCAACGACCCAATTACGAGATACTTTTTTTCGTACAAGTCTTGTGCGGGTTCATCAATTGCACGACATTAACTGGAATACTGGGGCTTTGCACCACGCTTTCTCTACACATGTGCAGCATGCTGAAAATCTTGGGGAATAAAATGAACGACCTTACGAATTTGTCGAAAACGGATAAAAACAGTGTACAGGAGAAAATCGCGGATATCGTTGAGTATCACACAAAATTCAAAGAGCGAGTCTTCCTTTTTAAATAGTAATACATAAGCAAAATAAATCATTTCTTAATAAGGCTTTTACGCTGCTTTTAGATGTACAGGACAGACCAATAACCATTGCCGCCTCAAATTGTCTCCGATATTATTAATGTCAGAGAAAAGAAATTATTATATTTTCTAACATCAACTTTTGACATTCATAGTATCAGATATATTTGAACGAGTAATAATCCTTGGTCCAAACCATATATTTAACGTAACTCTTCAGTGGAATTACACTTCCCTTTCGTATAGTCGAAGTATTTTTATCCTCCTTCAGCAGCTAGAAGTATTTTTATCCTCCTTGTCGCTACTATAATTTAAATATGGGAACCCATTTAGAGAGTTATGTTTGACAATAATTTATTCAAAGTAATTCCCATAATCGTAACTAATGAAACCTTCACTACAGATACTTTGGTTGATCTGAATACGTTACATCGTCTATTTACTTTGTGGAGCTTACCGGTGCAATATCAATAATGATTATAATTGGATATAGCATGATCATGGTAGTAACAATCAATTGCAAAAGTGTTCCTAAAGATGCATTATGGCTATTATACAAAGTAGCGAATGAGCTAGAAACATCTTTCAAATCAATCATTATTGTTAATTTTTCAATATCAAATATTGAAGCAGCTAGTAACTAGCCGAAATTATTCAACTATATATCAGACTTATATAGAACAGTTCAATCCACGTTTTACCGTATTATTTAAATCTTTCATGAAGTAAATTAAAATTCTGAACTTATTGATAAAATATTAAATAACCTATCAATTCAAATAAATTTTGTCGAATGTTCGATATAATGTGAGAAAAGTGGACGAGATAAATAAAATGCTACCTCTCATTTACAGATATATCATTGTAGAATAAATAATTAACCCTAGATTTTGTAAAATATTTTTGTACGCAAAATATACAAACTCGGATGTATCGTTTTCCACAAATACTGACAAATTAGTTACCCATAAAGAACTACAAATTACTAATTTTTCATTAATCAATGAATACCGTATGTACATCTACACAACCAATGGATACGTATGTACATCTACACAAACCGAAATCGCAGTCAACAAGCTCGTTATTGCCATATAATTAATAATCGTAGCAGTTATATAATTTATTATTTAACTATTTAATAATGCAATCAGTAATTATGTATCAA